CCCTGGATGCGTCTGATGGCTTCAATGTTCCCTTCCCATGCGCAGATGACCAACGTGGGAATATCCTATGAGGGCCGAGAAATTCCCGCACTCCGACTGGGTGTAGGCAGCAATCGTGACAAGAGCCCCACGCCGCGCAAGACCATCCTCCTCGTCGGGGGGAGTCATGCTCGTGAATGGATCAGTACTTCGACAGTGAACTACGTTGCCTACAACCTGATCACCAAGTACGGTAAGTCCAAGGCGGTCACCCGGCTGCTGGAGGACTTTGACTGGGTGTTAGTGCCCACGCTCAACCCCGACGGCTACGTATACACCTGGGAGACGGATCGTCTCTGGCGCAAGAATCGCCAACAGACCAGTCTGCGATTCTGTCCTGGGCTGGATCTCGATCGGACATGGGATTTCCAATGGGACGGCGAGCGGACGCGCTCCAACCCCTGCTCCGAGAATTATGCGGGAGACGAGCCATTCGAGGGGTTGGAAGCACAGCAGCTGGCTCAATGGGCTCTCAATGAAACGCAGAAGAACAACGCTGAGATTGTCAGCTTCGTGGATCTGCATTCCTATTCGCAGCAGATTCTGTATCCTTTTTCATACTCGTGTTCGTCTGTCCCACCTACCCTGGAAAGCTTGGAAGAGCTTGGCCTCGGGCTGGCCAAGGTCATTCGATTTGCCACGCATGAGATCTATGATGTCTCATCGGCGTGTGAAGGCACGGTCACCACGCGAGCGCCGGATAGTGGACGCTTCTTCCCCATCGGTGGATCCTCGGGTGGTAGCGCTCTTGACTGGTTCTACCACCAGCTACACGCGACCTATTCTTATCAGATCAAGCTCCGCGACCGTGGTAGCTATGGTTTTTTGCTTCCCGCGGAGCATATCATTCCCACGGGGAAAGAAATCTACAATGTGGCCTTGAAGTTGGGATCCTTCCTTATCAAGGGGAATGCCTTTGAAGTCGACTGGGAGGCCGAGATGGAAGACATCGGAGTGGTTGCTACGTCGGAGGATGATTTTAAGCCTGTTACTGGAGACGACCTGTCTGTAGTCGATGACGAGGCCACGGCCCACGACACTGACCCAGACGAACCGGAGGAATGGGAGGTGGTGGATTGGGCGGAGCAACATTCGTTCGAGTTCCGTCGGTGATCGAGTTGTCTTTACAGAAAAGTCTGCACTTGCGATTTGTTTCTTTCTCCACCCGGGGATGATACCTAGCTAATGGCTTGGGACGATGATTCTACGACTATGACTAATGATGTTTGTTTGGCAGCAAGGGATGAACCAGGAACCGGTGTATATTTTTTTTATCTTTTGGTACAATCTATGACTGTTGATATCTGACCGGGATGACTTTATCACTATGTTTCACTGTTTTCACCATGGCCATCTTCTGGTTCACTTAAGTAATGCTATGGATAGATGCGGCCGTTCACGATGCTTCAGGCACCGAATCTGTGCGAAGTCTTGCCCTCGTGTCTTGGCCATGTAAAAGGTTTTTGGGTGCCAAGCTGGCTATCGCTTCAATTTACCAGGAAGTCAGAGAGTTTGGTCAGGTTACACTGATAGAGGGGAGAGGGGCGAAATTGGCAGACGATTAGTGGGTGAGATGAGTAATGGGTTGTGAGCGGGGAGGGATATTATCAATTTACACATATTGTGGATGGGGGGTGCAATGATAAGCGGCGGCGGCGGACGGTGATAAGCGGTGCTTGGCGGGATAAGCAGAGGCAATGCATTGGGTAATGCCAATCCTGCCAAGCCCGTTCCCCGCGGGGTGTGATTAAAGCCTGACAGAGAGCCGTGGTTGACGGGAGGAGAGAAGTCTTCCACATGAATCTATCAACAAATATTATCATGCTCGGTGACTGTATAGGAATACTCACAATCTGAGAAGCTGGACGAGGCAATGTATCAATTTTTCCAAATGCAGCCAGCATGCAAAGTGCCAAGGGATCCGCCTCGGGTCCAGACCACACCCACCGGTGAATGGTTGCGATAATGCAAAGAGAGCAAGTGCGGTGCCTCGTGGATGGGATGAGCCGCAGAGAGGGAATAGGGAACAGGGGCCGACGCCTATCATCGGCTGTCCAATACGGGCTACCTACCCAGTCAGATGTCATATCATATCCCACCTTCCAATGTTACCTCCCCCGGCCTGAAGATCAGCCTAGTTCCTAACAGTCGCCGCGCTATTTTCTTTTTCTCACCCCCCCCTGGCTCACTTTCTCCATCGCTCTCTTTTCTATTCTCTTTACTTTTCAACCTCTCGCTTCTTCCTCCTGGTAACGACTATCACACTAACTCACAGTCTACACTTCAGCTATCTCCTCAGATGGGCTACAGAGAGGAGCCCCTCTTCAAAGAGGGCTATGCGACCGATGTACTTACGGCGGAGGAGAGCACAATCCAAGCACCTGGTGACAATGAGCTCCATCGTGCTCTCAAAGCCCGCCACATCACCATGATCGGTGCGACCCTGTTCTGTTCGGCTGCACATGTCATTGGGAAACTAATCCAGGGTCTCTAGCGATCGGCGGGGCCATTGGAACAGGTCTCATCATCGGAACCGGATCTGCTCTTGCAAAGTAAGTTCTTTCCCGAAAGCTGTGTGCGAAGGGAGTGAGCTAACTTTTCCCTCAGAGCTGGTGTAGGTGACTGCTCGCTCCGAATATCACAGATCAACATCTGACGCGCATCTAGCCGGCCTCTATCCTCATCTCTTACTCTATTGTCGGTCTTGTTGTCTACATGGTCATGTGTGGTCTGGGCGAGATGGCTGCCTGGCTGCCGTTGTCTTCGGGCTTTACTGGTTATGCTGTTCGATTCTGTGACCCGGCACTGGGCTTTGCTATGGGCTATACGTACGTTGAGTTTAAATGCTACCTGGGTCCGTTGCACTGACAGCAAGCAGGTACTGGTTCAAATACATCATCGTCACTCCCAACCAACTCACCGCAGGCGCACTCGTCATATCCTACTGGATCGACAAAGAACGAGTCAATCCGGGCGTATGGATCACCATATTCCTCGTGTTGATCGTCTCGATCAACTACTTCGGAGTGCGCTTCTTTGGCGAGTTCGAGTTCTGGCTTTCGTCATTCAAGGTCGTCGTGATTCTCGGGTTGATACTGCTGTCTTTCATCCTCATGCTCGGGGGCGGCCCGGACCACGACCGAAAAGGGTTCCGCTACTGGAAGAACCCCGGTGCATTCAACACCTACATTGACGACGGACCAGCCGGTCGGTTTTACGCTTTCTGGGCGACCATGGTCTCTGCCACGTTCGCCTATCTGGGTACCGAGCTGGTGGGTGTGACGGTTGGCGAAGCGGAGAACCCCCGCAAGACCATCCCCAAGGCCATCAAACTGACCTTCTACCGCATCGTGGTGTTCTACATCCTCAGTGTGCTGCTCGTCGGCACTTTGGTCCCGTACGACTCGGACGAGCTCATCTTCGCCACGAAGCAATCCTCCTCGGCCGCCGCGTCGCCGTTTGTGGTTGCCATCGTGCTCGCCGGTATTCCTGTCCTCCCGCACATTCTCAACGCCTGTATCTTGCTGTTTGTTTTCTCCGCGGCCAACTCGGATCTTTACATCGCTACCCGTACCATCTACGGGCTGGCCAAGGAGAACAAGGCCCCTAAGTTTCTGGCCAAGACCGACCGGCGCGGTGTGCCGATCTACGCACTGGGAGTGTGCGCGGCAATCGCGTGCATCGCGTACATGAACGTCTCCTCCGACTCCAAAGTGGTGTTCGGCTACTTCGTCGACCTCGTCACGATTTTCGGACTGCTGACCTGGGTCTCGCTGCTGATCACGCACATCTACTTCGTGCGGGCGCGCAAGGCCCAGAACGTGCCCGTCAGCGACCTGGCGTACCGCGCGCCGTTCGGGGTGTACGGATCCTACGCCGCCTTGGCGTTTTGCATCCTAATCTGCCTGACGAAGAGCTTCGACGTGTTCACCCACAACAAGAAGTGGGGCAACTTCAACTACAAGACCTTCATCACGGCGTACCTGGGCATCCCGCTGTATCTGTGCCTGATCGGCGGGTACAAGCTAGTGACGCGATGCTCCGGGGTGGATCCCCACCAGGCGGATCTGTGGAGCGGAAAGGATCAGGTGGATGCAGAGGAACGGGAGTATCTGAGGCGGAAGGCGATTATGGAGGAGCAGCACCAGGGGGCGAGTTGGTTCTATCGGAAGTTTGTGGCGTGGTTGTTTTAGGTGGGGGGAGCAGTCAGTCATGTGGAGGAGCAACATATGGGGTAATGAGCTATGACATTTCTTTCTACTTAGGAGACAGTGAGTAATGACAGTTCTGGAGTAGGTCTAGATGAAAGGATTTGCATGAGTAGTACGCAGTGGCAGTAGCAGATTGTTAACCCCGCCTACCTCCGAGAATTGTCCAGTCTACGTGTTTGACAGCTAGATTGGCAATGCAAGACATACATACGTAGTTTCGGCTGTTGTGGGACCGAGGGGAATAACTCCGACCCGGGGGGGCTGCAGACTCCGACGGGGAGATGGTGTGTGGCTACCAAACCCGCTTCCGTTTCAGACGCGGCCCCCAAATAGTGAGAAGGTCGCAACATCCGACGGTGGTTTGCTGCTTCTAATCGCCGGCTAAACCCCGCTGGTCAATCAACTCCACTGCTCCACTGCCCGCTCCACCACTGCGCCACTACTCAAGATGTATATACTGGCTATGCAATTGAGGTATATAAGCCTCTGCATCTCCTGAGAATCTGCATTCAATCCAATCCATTCAATCTAGAGAGTCCACCTCCACCATCACCACCAATCCTCAAACAGACACTACCCCCAAACCAAACCGGCAATTACTATACAACCACAACCACAGCCACCACCAATCTTCAAAAACAAAATAACACAACCAACCCAACGACGACACCACCAAACAACCACCACAACCACAACCACAACCACAACCACAACCACAACCACAACCACAACACAACACACCCCCCAAAAATGTCCTCCCCCTCACCAAAAACCCTCTTCCTCCTCGGCGGCAGCGGCTACATCGGCACCCAACTCATCCACCAAGCCACGCAGCCCCCCCACAACTTCACCCACATCCGGGCCCTCTCGCGCACCCCGCAAACCGACACGCACCTCGCCTCCCACGGCGCGACACCCATCCGCGGCGACCTCAGTTCCCATTCCACCATCACAGCGGAATCCCGTACCGCCGACGCCGTCATCTGCCTCGCGACCGCGTACACCTTCGGCCAAACCGCATCCTACGACGACCTCGGCCTACCGGAGGACTTCGCCGCGCTGGACGCCATCGCCGCCGGGTTATCCGGGAGTGGAAAGCCTCTTGCCCTGGCGAGTGGGACGCTGCTGTACGCGCCGCACCCGGAGGGGCGGGAGACGGACGAATCCTCGCCAGTGGATCCGAACCCGATCAACACCCGCTCCAAAACGGATGCGTATGTTCTATCCCTCGGGGAGAAGCACGGGTTCAAGGCGATGAGTGTTCGGCTGGCGCCGTTTGTGTACGGGCGGGGCGGGAGTGGGCTGGGGAGTTTTATGCGGCAGGCGCAGGTGACGGGGTCGTTTGTGACGGTGGGCGGAGGGGGCAAGTGTACGACGACGGTGCATGTGGATGATGCAGCCGGTCTGTTTTTGCTGGCGGTCGGGAGGGGTGGGGCTGGGGAGACGTTTAACGCGAGTGCCGAGACGCGGGTGACCTTTGCCGAAATCTTCGGGGCGTTGGCGGAGGTGCTTGGGGTGAGGGTGGTGGATTTTACGGAGGCAGAAGCCAAGGAAAAGCTGGGCGAGATGGTGGCTAGGTTCTTGGGGACGGAGAATCGCGCGTCCGGGGACAAGGCCAGGAGGGTGTTGGGGTGGGTGCCTTCGGGGCCGGGGGTGTTGGAGGATATTCGGTCGGGGTCGTATACGGAGTTGGCCCGGGAGTTGAAGGGGAATTAGGGATTGGCATGTCTATGGTATCTTAATAATGTATGTGGGGACTTTTTCGTCGCTATCACGTTGAGTCACTAAATGTCATGCGGCCGCCCTTTCGGCCGCCTGTCGTGCTAGAAACATCAACCGCTTGATCAGGCACACGGTGAAATAGAACGGCGGAAAGCGCCCCCTCATGTCTGCTGACTCTTTCTTGTCTAATCCCACAAAAATATCCACCACGGTTTGCAGCAGTTGGATATCGTTCGCGTATGACGGCGCCGTGGGGTAGGTGATGAGGAATTTGAAGAGCGAGAAGACGCCGGTAAGGAGGAACTGGGCGTAGATCCTTGATCACTCAACGTCAGTGAGGGTGTATACAGACAAAAGAGCGAGGATGGAAGCACGCAACGTACCAGAAAGTATGCCAATTGAGGAACTCCCGCGTCCGACAAATGTAGACAAGAATTGACCGGGATTCTTGATGGAAGAGCTCGGCACTGGATGGCAGTATCGACCAGCTGGAATTGCTGTTGCTGCTGCCGACAGCGCCACTCGCCCCGTGGATCTTGCCAACAAGAAAATAAAAGTCCAGGTGGAGGCATACCCCCCGCAGACTCAGGTCGTGGAAGGTGTAGTTGGGTGCCGTCTCCGTGGCGAAGAGGTCCGGCCAGCAGCTGACCGGGAATGTGGCCTTGAGGTCGGTGAGCTCCTGATCCAGTTCGCGGATGTATTGCAGGCGACGCGCCTCAGGCTGAGCTCGAGCATGATCGGAGTAGAGCAGATGATAGACCTTGGATTTAAGGAGGGAGAGTCGGATGTCAGAGGGGAAGAGGAGTTCGTCGTTTGAAAGTGGCCGCGAGAAGAATTGGTGGTCGGAGGATGACAAGACATAGTTGTCCGGGATCTGCAGTTCGCAATCCACGTCGATGAAATGCGGCGAGCAGTTGTAGCGAATGACCATGTTCTTATCTGCACCGTAACAGAACCAGAAGAGAGCCCGGAGGTGTCTCCCTTCTGGTTCGTGGATGACGGAATATCGATGGCCGCCGAGGCTCAAAATCATTCGAGTAGCTAGAGATAGTAGCATTTGACCTTGTTCAACTTGAGCACCCGGCATCACGTACGTCATCTGTGCAAGTCAGCCGCATTCGCCTTGAAGACTCCAGGTGGCATACGATCAAGACAATAGTTTCCAGGCTCCTAATTGTGGGCTTCTCCATCAGGACTCTGGGCACGAGGCACAATGCAGCCTGGATGTAAGCATCAGGTTCAGCATCGACGAAAGCCGGATCGAGCCGATGCATTACACTCATCATCGCAGTGAATGCAAAAAGACATGCGAGCTTAGCTGCGGGAACGGTGCCATCTTGGTGATCCAGTATACCCTCCTGAATCAATTTGCTCAACGCATCAGCATTTGCAACTGGAAAGATAGAATAGAGCCCGCTCCTGGAATGGCGATTTATGGAGTGTTGGACCAGAGGCGTGGGAGGCCATTTGGGTGCAAGCGACCGTTTCGGACCTGTCCGTTCCTGGAAGCCCTGGAATTTGAGAGACTGTGCCGCCTGGGTAAGGAAATGGTCGAGATCGATTGGAGAGCCGGTCTTCTCGTAGACCGTAGAGAAGAACGACGAACGTTGAATGGAGCCGGCTTTCCCCACTCCGCAATGAGCAATCTCTCCTTGAAATGTTGTCAGAGAAGTGTCTAGATCGTAGCTGTCTGGAAGGTGGTCCAGAGTCATCAAGCAAAGCCAAGGGCTCTCCGAGATGTCATCGGAGTTACTTCGCTCGCTGCAGTCCGTGCGGGGCGAAGACCGGTGGACAGCCAATTGCGCTTCTAAGTCACGTATCCTCGCTCTGGCATCCTGGAGCTGACTGCCATATCAATTAGTGCTGGAGTATGGAGTTGGCGCCAGTACTTACTCTCGAAGGCTTTTTCGGGACAGGTCAGGTTGATCTGTGAAGGTGCACGGCACGCCGGCAAGACAACACGTCTCACAGCTAGGCTGGACATTATCGCAGCGGATCTAAAACGCCCTAGGGTCAGCACTTGATTGCGCTAATGCCACATCCGCTTGATGCAAAGTAACCACAAGATGAACGCAATTACTAACCTTTCTCTGCCTGCACAAATCACAAGCACTTCGGACCCGACCACCAGCACGTTGAGACGAAGATTGACCGCGCATGCTAGCTGGATATCAATAGCAAATCAGGGTTCTGATGGATCCACTGCAATGTTTCTGATTCTGGCGACACAGATTCCCTGAATGAGTCCGGGCTGCTCAGTCATCGGCACCTCAATTCCGACAGGAGTTGTGTGTTGCCTGGACCGCGGGGAGGGTCGAAGGTATACTCAAAAAAAGTCGACTTGACTGGATTTGGAAGCGGATGACTCAGCGGCATTGCTTGCGCCGATATTTGCAAAGGTTTTAAGCTGGGATCAACGCGGGGGAAAACATCCATGGTTGCAGCACGGTTGCAGAGGGAAGGCGGAAGTGTCGATCGTGGATAGACGGGCCCGAGACGCGGAAGCTGCCTAGAGCCAAGTCCGACACTGGATCCACATCCCGCCTAGATGCTTCATCTCGAATTCTCGACTAACATGCCTCCATCAATCACAGTCCCCCATTTCGTCAGCCAGGGCCTTCCTGACCTGCAATTGACATTGTTCTCATCGGTTCTATCTGTTATGCTCTATCTCAGTGAGAGCATACTCCGAAGAATCAGCCAAGATTGCCCACGACGACGATGACGCGTTCATGGGATCCGCGGAGCGGCATTGAGTATTGCAGCAACAAGGCGGAAAGTGAAGTCCATTGCATGGACACTGGAATTAATGATTGCAGGAGTCTTAGATCACGGAGTCCGAGAATATATAAAGGTCACGTCCATGGTCTTCGAGGGATTCAATTCCAGCAACCATTCCACAGTCTGATCGTCCTTCGAACCCCTTCGTCTCAATCAATTCAGAATGCAGATTCTTCAGCTCAAGCAAGCCATTGCACTCTCGCTGGCCGGGTTTGCCATTGCTCATCCTGGTGCTCATGAAGCTAGCTCTTTCACCGATGTCTCCAAGCGTGCGTTCCTGCACAATGCCCACCGGAGCCTGAGCCAATGCGCTGGACAGCTCGAGAAGAGAGGCGTGCATGAACGAGCTGCTTCCCGTCGCGCAGCATTGTTCGAAAAGTACAAGAAGCGCTCCCTCGGTCTCCGCGATACGGAGAAGGTGGTGAACACTTCGCACCACTCCTCCCTCCACGTGACGCCCAACACTTCTGAGTTAGAGCTGTTTTCGAAAGACCCAGTCTGCATCCTCGCTCCAGAGGGTGAAGTCGGTCCCTTCTGGGTGAAGGGTGAGCTTATTCGCCACGACATCTCCGATGGAGAAGCCGGCGTCCCCATCATCCTGGACGGTCAATTCATCGACATCAACACCTGCCAGCCCATCCAGGATCTTTACTGGGACGTCTGGAACTGCAACTCCACCGGTATCTACTCTGGAGTCCAGAGCAGCATGAACGGCAACGGCAACGACGCCTCCAACCTCGACAAGACTTTCCTCCGCGGTATTCAGAAGACCGACGCGGACGGTGTTGCTGGATTCAAGACAGTTTTTCCCGGACACTATTCAGGCCGCGCGACTCACGTCCATGTCATCGCCCACGTGGGCGCTCATGTCCTTCCCAACAACACGCTGACTGGGGGACACATTCCCCACGTCGGGCAGTTGTTCTTCGACCAAGATCTGATCTCGCAGGTTGAGGCTACCTATCCCTACAACACCAGCACGGTGGCTATCACCGAGAATGCGGATGATCACGTGGTCAAAGTTGAGACTGAGGATAGTGACTCCGACCCGTTCTTTGAGTATGCTTTGTTGGGTGATTCGATCGAGGATGGCATTTTGGCATGGATTACCCTTGGCATCAACGTTACCGCAAGCCATGACTCCAGTGCCACTTGGGCTGCGACTCTGACCTCGTCTGGTGGTGTCATCAACGAGGACTCTTCCAGCGGTGTGGACATGTAACAGTTGACACAATTTCGCACAACTCCGAAGGGGTAATCTCACTATGGTGGTTACAATCCATCTGCCTTCGACCAGAGACGTGATGTTGACCTTCAAGCGATATGGGGGTGAGCTTTTTGCTTCGATCAATGTACTTCTTACCTACTGGATATTAGTTAGCACAGAAGTCAATTTTATTTCTTCGATTTTGGTCATCTAATCGAAGCTTTCTGAGAGAGTTCTTCTCGTAATCTCAAATGAAACTTAGCGTGTAGTGCAAAGTTCAAGCGCTCGGTTTTAATCGGCTATCGTTCTTAGAGGAGTGCGTTCATTCGCGCGCCGGGTGGGGCAGTGTGTTAAAGCTCCATTTTAGGAAAAGACAAGCTGAGCCTCAGCTTGCTTGAGCCGGGGCTTCAAGCTATGACAGGCACGTTCCGGCGATGTATCTCGATGGATTGAACTGAGGACGAGTCGGTCGTTCGCATTGCAGGTCATGGCCAATTGGTCGCCGGGACGGCAGCCGTGGAAGCTGCTCGCATGGCTGCAGAAAGGATATCACCATCCCAGTATTGGGTGACATTACATGATCAGGAGCGGCCAAAATAAAATGGAAAGAGTAATGTGCCAGTGTACTTGCGTGTGACAGAATAGGATTGAGGAACGACTGGAATTGGGTGAGGGATTGTCTTCCCGCTCCACATGTATAGAGGGAAGGATTGGCACTAGCACTATTCGGGAAAGGCGCGATATGGCTGACATCAGCCATGGTCCGGCCGCCGCTTCTTCAGACCTCGTCTGAAGATTTCACAACAAGCGCCCTAACGATAACCCCTCATACTCTCGCTTCCAAGGAGTGCCCCTGATTAATTACATACGCAATGCCGATGCAGACCCGGGGTTCCACAGAACCCAGTGACAGTACCGGAAGTGCGAAACGGAAGCCCGTCCGCCGCGACCCAGAGAAGAGGAGGCAACAGAACATTCAAGCTCAGAAGAAGTACAGTAAGCGCACATCACTGCTGACTTTGGCGCCTGGTGTCTGATTACACACAAATCCTTGATCTTGTCAGTACTGATTTGCTGTTTCTCTCTCAGGAGAGAAGCTTCGCAAACGCCTAGAGAACCTCGAGGCACTCGCAGCGTCGGCTGCGCAGAATCATGCGGTTGAAAGAACAGCAGCTGTGGAGATTGACGCCTCGGAAGCGGCCGTAGAGCATGGACCTTCGACCTTTCTGCCCCACATCGCTGCAAATGGAATTCCGGCCTCTGAAGCCCCGGGAATACCAGTTCCTTTTCCATCTGCGGTGATCCCTAGAGACCCAAGCCCCTCACTGGAAGACTTTGCAGCAGCTCTTCCCTTGTGGGAACCTTCAACATATGTCACTAACCTCGATTGTACCTCATCATCGCTGGCGAGTTTCGACTCCACGATCTATGCACCATTGTCGGACAATCTGTCTGTACCTAGCATCTGGGATACTTCTGTAGAGGCTTCGCTTTCCGACGATCTCTCGTCTGCCCCCAGCTTAAGGGATTTCACCACTAGTGTCCCGCAACCAGACAAGCCTGCATCAGCATTGAGCATAGTGGGCACTAAATCTCAATCCAAACCGTCCTTTCTCATCCCAGACAATCATGCCGATAACACCGGTGCTTCGAACTGCATCATCGCCATCAAATGCGGCTGCCCTAAATCTCACATCCGTGTTCAGACCCAAAGCCCCTACCCGTTTCGCTCTGGCGAAATTCGTATCGTCACTCTTGACCCCGGTGCGCCAGCTGCGGACCCATATGCTAATCACATCCGCATTGACCCAGTCTGCACCATAACGGCACTGTATACACTTGGAATACAGATCGGTGTCAATGAATCAATGCTTTGTGCTGATGAGTCATTTTCGCCGTTCTACCGGCCCAGCGCGTCCACCGCAGATGACCTGGTTAAAGCAAACATGGTCGGCACTGTACAAAGAATATTCAAGACCCTGAAACCGGACCTGCGGCCAAACCGCGAACAGATCATGATTGAGCACCACCCTTATATCGACATTCTGCCTTTCTCAACGTTGCGAAGAAATCTATTGATCCGTCAGGGTGATCTGGATGAGGATGAGTTCATGGATGATATAATTTCCGGCTTGGTCTGCTGGGGAGGGGCCGGTATGGGGAAACGGGACAGACAAGACTCGGTTGGACGTCATCCAACAGGCACACCGTGGGATGTCCGCAGTTGGGAGGCCAAAGTGTGGTTTTTGAAGAAGTATTGGGCACTGCTGGGTGGTGAAGATGGAGAACTTGTGCGGCAGAGTGAGTGGTGGCGAGGACTCAGGGGGGAGGACGAAGAGGTGTTTGATCAAAGTGATTCGACGCCAGCGGACTCTCCACTATTCTACTCGACCCTAGGAATCTGATCATAGATTATGAAGGCAGCTCGGACTGAGGGACGAATATCGTGAGTTGACAATGCAAAGGGCCAAGAGGGGACAATAGCTTGATATCTTTGAAAACAGTTGCCTTTCATGAAGTCGTGGAACGTCGGTGGAATCATCCTCAGCATGTGGGCACAAGCACCAAAGATGACTGCCTTGATAGGTTCGCAGTCAATTGGGCTTTCTACCCGGTCGCACAAGGTCAGATTCGAGAGCTCTAAGACATCGGGGATCAGGGATGTTTCTCAATCCATATATGCTCCGATGCGACCGTCACTATCCTATCCGGGCACTCCATGAAGACGCTACACAGACCGATGCAGGATTGCACCCGGGAACCGTGCGGCTGTCCTGCACATTGTAGCCACTAGCTTAGTACTCATTCAGGTCGTCTATTATAAGATGGTCAGCTTACCAGCTGACATGACTTTGATCGGAGTCAGTTTCATCCTGCATTGCAAATTACAATAATGGCAGATTCATCACTTTGTTCATCCGGCGCCAGACCAAGGCTTCTCATGCTCAATATTGTCTTCATCGTGCTCACGGCATTGTCTACTATCGTTCGAATAGCGAGCAAATCCATCGCCGAACACTCACAGTGGTGGTGGGATGATCATTTTGCTATCCTCTCTCTGGTGTGGGCTTCAAGCATATGGTACAACACAGATCAACTGATCTATTACGCACAGCTGTTCGAAGTACCTTATCTATCCCTCCTAATCCTATGGCTCAGAATCGGCCTCCGTTACTACCCCAGCGTCGGGTTTCCGTACCTCTTCTCGTCTTTGTTCTTCTTCAACGGAGCTATCTGCTTCACCAAACTGTCCGCCATTTTCTTCTACGCCCGCGTTTTCGGCTTGAATAATCGCGTCTTCCGGCTTCTCCTGTGAGTCGCGGGCTCTCTCGTCGCGGGCCGGCTTGCATTCGTCTAGATAAGCACAGTGTTCCAGTGTCGACCGATTACAAAAGCGTGGAATCCCACGCTGCCGGGCACCTGTTTCAACTCTACCCCTGGTACATTTCGACAGCGAACCTCTCTTGCCTGATAGACCTCTATATTCTCCTCCTCCCAGTCCCGCTTATCATCCGCCTCAAAATAAGTTCCCGTCGCCGCCTTGTCTTCCTCATTACCTTCTTCATGGCCTATTCGGCTGTCGTGATATCTATCATACGTCTCGTCGTGATGGCCCAAGGCAATCCTTGTGGATCCGCCAAATTGATCTGTGCAACGATGGAGTACGCCCGCCGGCTGTCCCCGAAAGTGCTATCTCCGTTATCTCGATCAATGTACCGAGCGGCATTGCACTTGTGAGGGCTATTCTCAGAAATCGAGGACGCATACGGGGGTCTGACAGCTCCTGGATTCCTAGCAACTCACCCCGACCGATACCCAGAAGGGTCTACAACGAAACGTCGTGTGTCGACCTTGATCATGATGAAGACCTGAGCGAGGCAGTTACAGAGGTAGAGGACCTCTATGATGTGGAAATCAACACAGACATCTGCCTCAGGGGCATCAGGCTGCCGAAACCAATTCCTCCAACTTGAACAGACGAATTTTACTCGTCTATCCTAGCAGAGCTGTTGTCAAAAAAGCTCTAGTTAGTTAACATCAGTATGCTAGCGATTACTTTCTAGTAAACTAAAATGAAAAGAAATTCCAGAAGTAGTCATCACAAAAAGAGCTTGCCCGCCTTCGTGATATCAGAACCGGAGAGTTAATTCAACTTGCCCAGTGCACTTAGCAGTTGGTACACACGACATTCTTGATGCTATCATGGCGAGACTCGTGTCAATCGCAATAGAGTGAAGGGCTTTTTTGGCATTATTGACGATACGAATTTCTACACTTATATACGTAGAGTGGCTATCAGAGCGACAGTATATATTATGTCTAGCGAGTTCGGTATCTATCGTTCCTCGTTGCCTACTTGACACACAAGAGTCGAATTGCGCATCCCGATCGTGATCGTTCAGCATCTTCCCAAGTTTCCGTAACTAGCTTTCACGCGCATACTGGCTACAGGTTGAGGGAAGAGGATTGATGGACCAGGAGCTTCGCTTGTGCAGTAAAGACAAGATGGAGCCAAGCATGCAACGCCAAAAAGCCTTGTCATTCCAGAACCACCCAAACTCCACTGCTTCAAAGATGCCTGCATTATCATTGTGGAGGTTAGCCGCTTTAGTTCTTCGCTGTTCCAGGGCGGATTGACCTTGGGAGAATGGTTTTAGTGGTTGGTCCATATCTTTCTCCCCCCATCCAATTGCTGCAGTGATACAAGGAGATCTATGAACCTCGGATTGATCTAGTTCGCTAACAGCTGCGAGCGGTTGGTAGGGATCGTATTATCACCAAATCTATTAAGCCTCATGCGCAGCACACGATTACCACATCTCGGTTCATACTATCGCGACTCATCTTTTTGCAACTCCTATAAGCCGTGTCCTGCGCTTGGATGTATCAAAGAATCAGCCTCTCGTCTGTGCCTCTCTCAATCTCGGTTCTCTCGTGTTGGACGACACCATCAGCAGTAGATCTATTGGTTGGGATTTGTCGGAGTTCGACAACCTGTCAAGTGCCATGAAGATCCACTCGAAGCTATACAAAGCAAGTACTATAGGGGGTCAGCTTACTACATCTTACGGCTCGCCTGAACATGTCAACCCCACCTCGAATACTTAAGCCGGCTGTAGCCTTCTCGCTTGAATCTCTCTAAGGCCCACTTTCTTCGCCTTTCTCTCTCACCCACCTTTTCAATCATGTCCGCTCAAGTGTTGTCCCAGCTTCCAGCTCTCCAGGCTACCGTTGCACCAGACTGCAAGATTTTGCAAAACTCTGAGTGCCCCGAATTCCACCAACGTTTGAGGCGCTGGACTGAAATCGACCACCAAACGCCGACTGCGATCATCTTGCCAAGCACCGAAGAAGACTGTCTTAGAATTGTAAGCCTCCGGTAGCCCGAAGCCCCAGCATCAGGTCATATGTGCTGATGCTGGTACAGGTTCAATGGGCACTTCGGTTCTCCATCCCGTTTGTACCTCTTGCGGTGGCCACAGTGCCTGGTCCACGATCGGCGAGGGCGGCGTCATTATTGATCTGAGTGATTACGCCGGTGTTTCGGTAGATGAAGCAGCAAGAACGGCCACCTTGGTCGGTGGAGTGCTGTCCAAACAGGTGGGCCTGCGCCTCGCGGAAGCAGGGCTATTTACAGGTACTTTACTCGAACTCGATGTTGCTTTTCCTTAAGCGTCTCTCTTCATTGCTGATCCTGATATGAATTCCATTTAGCCCTCGGAAACGGCAACACCGTCGGCGCAATCCCGTACTTCCTCGGCGGAGGCGCATCCATCACCTCCTCCATCACGGGACTTGGGTCTGATCAAATAATCTCCGCGCGGGTCATTACCGCCAGGGAGGGTGGAACACTGGTGGAGGTAACAGAGTCCGATAATATCGATCTTCTGTGGGCGTTACGAGGTGCGGGACAGTTCTTCGGGCTGGTCACCCAGCTTACCATCCGTGCTCACCCGCTCTCCTTGCTGCGCAAGCGGGCAGGTTTGATCTGGGTCGGCGCGTTTGTCTTCCCACTGAACCGTGCGGTGGAGATCGCTCGTGTGATGAAGCCGCTCATGGCGGACGGACAGCACGCGACGTCTGGCTTGATGATGATCATGGCCTCTCCACCGGCCCGCGTCCCCTCGTTGGTCATCTCGGCGCGGTACACGGGTGACGAGGATCCGCATGTACCCTTTGGGCCATTGTACGAGCTGCAGCCGGTGATGGTGACTGGAGGGGAGGTACCAGTGCAGAATGCAAGCGATGCGCGGGAGGTCCTGTGCGCTAAGGGTGACTTTAAGCAGTTTGGCGTTGTGGGGCTGCATGAGTTCAGTGTGGATGGTTTTATGCACACGGTCGAGGTTTGGAAGAGGATGGTTGATGAGTGCCCGGACGCAATTAAGACTGCCTTCAATTTCCAGTGGGATGCAAGGCCTGTTAAGACGCCCGACATGGATTCGGCCCAGTCACTCCATGATATTCGCTACTGGCAGTACGTTGTCTCTCTCTCGTGGGCCGAATTTTCGATGCTAACTCTACTGGGATGGTGGTAGGAACAACTTGATTTGGCATACAGATGCAGCCAGCCGGGGCAAGGTAGATAGCTATAATGAACAGTGCATTGCCATCATGCGTGGGTCGGACGAGTCGCGGTTTGTGGACTTCCAAAATGGAACCCGCATTGGGCCCATCGAGAGACGGTACCGTGGGGAAGCGCGGCTCAAGAAGCTGCGACGGTTGAAACGAGAGTGGGATCCTGAAGGGGTGTTCACTCGGCAGTTGCTTGATTGAGCGTGGGTGAAGCTTTCTGTTGTGACGGGTGCCTGGGGAGTGTGAAGCTCACGGATTCTGGACATCTTAAAAGGAACACAGTCAGTTATGCCCCTTTCGTGCAGACGGGCGGACCCAATGCCCATAAGCTTACCAACGCCACCCAACCCGTCCTGCCGGAGCTTGTCACGACGCAGGACAAGTTTGTGGTCACCCTCGAGGGTTTCGAGAAGGTCGCCCTCGATCACCTTCCGGCGCGCTGTGATTTTTGGCTGGATGTGGCGGCGTCTCTTCCTGTGTAGGTTCAGGTCCGGCTTAGCGAGAATAGCTCAAATCAATTTCAGTGAAATGGCCGAGAGGAGAAACATCATGTCACCCCAACTATGTGTGTGACTAGAGTCTACTGAAAGTAGCCCTGATATCTTCCTACTATATGTTTACCGCAGTACAATCCTTCCGGGCACTGGTTGCGATCAGAACGAACGGCGGATACACGCACAATACTCACACCATGACACTCTATCTAGATTATATCCACTTCAGAAGATTTTATTTCATTGATTAGAGTCAAGGTCGAAGTAGGTGTCACTTTAGACCTTGCACATCCGACCCTACTCCAAAAGCTCATGGCCCCTGCGCATGATGTCACGTGCTCATAATCGCGCCTTCAACTTTCACCCTCCCGGTCGCTTCTCGATCCCTTCATCAAAGTCTCAAAGCTTTACCCGCCATTCCTGATTCAGCGTACGCTCACAGAACCTCTCGGCTCCTGCTCGAGAGAAGATCGGCTCCTGCTTCCATGCTGCAGGAGTCTCTACTCTGCAGAGCAATTTCAGTGTGATAGCTGTGGGAAAGACATAAGTCATTAAGTGGTAATTTTGTCGCTTTCTGGATTTTACCTTACTAGGGAGGTCCAGGAGACCAAATCATCGATGCCCAGCGAGTGTTCTCTTTGACCCGAACAACACAATCATCGTCCTAAAACGCAAATTCCAACTGTACGCTCGGAACAGCCGAGGAATTTGCCGCCATGGAGAATGTCACATTCCAGAACTCGAAGTTGCTGGTTAACGATTAGTAGGATCCGATTTGACCGTGAGATACAAAAGATAGAAGGTGATGTGGCAGAAGAGACTCACTGAATAACCTCACACGTGCCGCCCAGGAGCCCGCAGAACGAGATCTCGGGAACGGGATCAACGGTACCGCCTACCACCTTGATCGTGAGCCCGTCTACATCCTCAAACCCTGCGATATCACGCTTCGCGCCGAGGGGGTTGGAAGCCAGAACGAATGTGAAGGTGCTCGACGCGTTGCCCAGCGGGTAGGTCAGGTTCAACGCGTAGGGGGCGATGTCGGCCACCAGGGCTGTCTCCTCAGGATAGAGGTTGAAGTACCCGACCGAGGCGTCAGGACGGAGCCACTGCACAACGGCGGGACTGAACGAGGTCGAATCCTCCGAGAATCCTCCTACGACGGACTGGTTGAAGGAGGCCGTTCCGATGGTCAGGTTGCGCGAGAGCCAGGTAGTGATGTTGCGCGGTTCGAGATCCGCTGGCGGCGCATAGGCGTGCCCGGTGTAGGTACGTTGCTCGTCCTCCACGAACCCTTGTAGACGTACGCGGGCAGTGGCAGGAACAAGGGCTCGATGGAACTCCGACAGAATGGCGACAAGCGGCGCGATCTCGGAGTCGTCGGCATGCGCCATCGTCCAGATCGGCGAGGTCGCATTGGGGAAGACGTGCTCCTTGTCGAGCAGCGACCACACCCACAGCGACATGATGGCCACGTACTTGTTCATGTCGTAGCCGTACGACCGATCCCACGGCCCGGCGAAGTTGCGCAGGTTGGCGTTCCACAGCTGCGACTCGTAGCCCCATATGCTCTCGATCACGCGGGGCGCCTGCTGGCCGATGGTGGCGTTGGTCGTGCCGAGGTACTTGGCCGCGATGGTCAGGGCATACAGCGAGACGCCGGCGTAGGTCGGCCCATTGAACTCGGAGAGTGTGCCGTTGCGGTCGAACAGTTCCAAGAAGGCGCGGGCGTCGCTGTCGCCTGCCGCCGTCATATTGGCATTGCCGAACTTGCGTCCCGTCCAGGACCCCACCACCGTCCGCATCAGCCAGGCGTTGGAGTACGCGGGGTACAGATTGTCGCCATCCACGCCGCCGACGCGGTATGTGTCACCGACGGTGTTGTTGTACAGGCTGTCGAGGATCAGCTCCTGCACGGAGCTGGGGAGTCGATGTCCGAATTCCTCGTAGATGACAATCAATGCCGTCCCGATGAACCCTCGCCAGTTGGGGTCCCATGAATTATAAATCTTGTCACCATCAGTACTCTCGCGTGATCTCTCATGAGATGATCGTCGGTAGGGTATGTACTCACAACAGGAGGATAAGCCGGCGTCCCCACCGTCGGCTGTTCCGGGTATTTGGTGTAATCCCCATACCACTGCACTGAGACATTCTTCTCCTGACCTCCGATGACATTCTCCAAGATCCTCACCGCTTCCTGGCGATCCTCCCCACGATCCCGTTGCAGCAATCCTGCCGCATACCATACGCTCGACCGGGTCTCATGCGGCCCAGCCGCGAGCGGGAAGTAGAAGTACCGGAGATACGCGGCAGCAGGGTCGTAGATCGCATCTTGAATGACCATCGACTCGTCGAAGAGATTCTGTGCAGAAGTACTGAGGTTCACGGCCTGCACGGTGGTTGCACTCAGCAATCCCAGCCCAAGAAGCTGGGCCCAATTGGTCTTCCAGCGCATGGTCGATGTCCGTTTGGTGGGCGGAACTCTACGCCTATGATTGGGGATTCGGTGTGTGATTCCGGGGTGGAAGCACATTCCTGTCATTGACGGTACTTTATAGCCAATATCTCCACCGGAGAAATTTCACCGGATTCCACCGCGATGGCCGGAAATACTGCTAGAGTACGGTGATCTTCATTATGCTTGGACCAATGATGCCTTGCAGAGGTTCAGCATGCGGGGCGAAGGACCAACCCTAAGCGGGGCGCGATAAGATAAGATACCCAGCCGAGGTTGTCTGTGTAGGTGTTTTCCCCGCATCGGTTGCTCCCGGTGGTATCACCAGCCACCTTGTATTCCCAGCCACCCCAGATAAACATGGTGGTCTTTCGTGGAACGGGGCTAGAGTGAGTGGTTCAACTGCGGTGATGATGTCACTGTCTCATTGTTTATTGTTCTGCTCGGATAAGTGAGATCTGTCATTCCGCGAGGTTGTTGATGGTTTGTTGCCGCGTGACCCAAGTTTGCATTCCAGAGATGGGGCGTGGCATGATCTTGTTCGGTTAATTGTTTGCATCGGGTATCTGTATACTTGAGCAATCCTGCCCCATTGGGGAAGATAACGGATGGAAGAGGAGCAGGGACCGTTGGAACTTCTATCTCGAAGGATCAATAAACGTTACCCATTCATCGAATGTTTGACTACGCACGGACGGGGATTCATTACCCGTCAGTGAGGCCCTCGACCCGGGACCCAGGTACATAAGTGTGACACTGTTGCACCGTCCCGCGCATGCTCTGTACTTCCCAATGAATGTTGTAGCACAGTGCCTCTTCTCTTGCAAGATGACTTCCACCCCCGTGGAAGCAATTGATTGATGCTATAGCACGACACAGCCCAAAACAGCCTTTCCCTACCCAACAGATCACCCTACTGCCGCAACCTCCACCTCACATACGACTTGGAAGGATACCGCCGCTCATTCACCTGCGCCAAATCCCCGACACACCCGAGAATATCCTCATCATACCCGTAGAAATCATAGACCACCGCATTATCATCCGGAATCAATCTGTCCCGCAGGTCAAAAAACAACTGATAGAGAGCCGACACCTTGCCTCGGGTCCCGCGCAGGGTCCGCACAACATCGAGAACCAGCGACCCAAACGGCGCATATGACAGAATATGCCCGTAGACATCGCCGTCGCCGGTGCGACCCGGCTCCTGCGCTCTGCCATGAATACTCTCCGTCACACCCTCAATCACCCGATCAATGTTGGGGATCACTTCATAATTTACGGTCATGCTATGCGCACGGATAGCCAGCATCAACCAGCGCAGCGCCACATCCGCCAACACATGGTTGGGCTCGATGACCTTGCTCGCGAACCCGAACCACCGACTCGCCAGCAGAGACTCAAGCCAGCCACCGCCAAACTCGCGCAGAAACCGAAACCGCTGGCGGCCGAGATCATAATGGCAACCCGGGAGCCACTCCTGCTGGGTGACCCCGAACCGCTCCCAATCCCGCTCACCATGCCTCGCGTAATCCCGACTCACGAGACACGGCTGGAAGACAAACAGCCGATCATGCAGCGAGACCGCATGATGCACATTCGCCACCACCGTCGAGACATGCTGATCATAGAACACGGGCCAGTCCAGCCCGACCCCGCCGGTGAACTCGGGAATGCCCAGGCTGCCGACCGTATCGAGGAGGCCCATGAACCGGATGGGCGGGTGGAACCGCGGCGCGGTGCGGTCATGGGGATCTTCGTCGCCGATCAGCGGCCAGGATTTCGTCTGCCGGAAGCGTAGGGACTGCGGGGCGTGCGGGGCGTTCATCGCGTAGGGCGACCGGTAGAGGCTGTAGACCGCCTCGCAGAGCAGGCGGGTTTGCTGGGTGTCGATCTCGTTGGTGCCCGGGGTGCGGAGCGGGTGCACGATGCCGCAGTTGTTGATCATCCCGGCTACGGCGCGCGCGAGGTACGCGCCTCGCGACAGGCCGAAGAGCCAGATCTCGTGCGTGGGGTAGGTGTAGTTGTGGACTAGGTATTCGTAGATCGTGATGCATTGCTGTGCGATGTCTTGGCCTGTTATGCCGTTGAAGAGGTAGCTGTGGGGGAAGTGTTAGTGATGCTTTGGAATGGGGGGTGGGCTGTGTGGTGGGTGGTATGTGGTATGATGGGGTGGATAGCAGATGGGGACGTACTCGAGGAACGAACTGCCCAGTCCTACTCCTTCGAGATAGAAAACCCCGTCCGGAGACTGGATCCGGGCGTCGATTCGTACGCCGAACAGTTCGGCGAGTTTGTAGATGTTGCTTCGCGTGTTAGTCTCGCGACCGCACCAGGTGCCGTCGCAGAGGATGAAGAGGGGCTTGGTCGGGTTGTCTGTTGGGGCTGGACGGGTTAGCGTGGGGGACGGTGTCGGTGTCGGTGTCGGTGTCGGTGTAGTGGACATGATTGCTCTTGGGCAGGCAGTGATGAGTATGGTTGGATATGTGATTGCATTGAGTGTATCCCGAGAGAGAGAGAGAGAGAGAGAGAGAGAGAGGGAAAGAGTAAGATCAGCAAGAGAGGGGCATGAGAGGCAGCTACTGCATGCAGCCTTAGCAGGCAAGCGGCACGGGACGGGCTATCCATGGGTCTCGGGCTGGATGGCGTCGCGGGACCGTGCACACGAGCTCCTCTCTACTTGGCTCTGGCTTGCTATTGATCGACGCTAAAACCATATACGAGTACGATCGACTGAGAGTTAGGTGGGGAGTGGGGTGCGATGAGTAACTTTATGGGTGATCTAGAGCGTAAAGACTTCGAGGTGGTTATGGGGGTTTGACGTTGTTTGACACTGTCTCCAGCTTACCAGCTACAGAAAATTAGTGTGCCGATAACCCCACTATGAATGCTTCTTTCTAGCGGAGCATGTGCTGTACATCAGTTATCGTATTGATCCTACTCTTGCCGGTAGTCAGTTAAATTATACAGGTGTTGAACAGAGTGGTTGATGGGGACCCAGTCCTGTCGAGGTTATATAAGCAGACACCTCGATGCCTGGTGCATTCATTAGGGAGCACGGGCTTAATTTTGGTAGGCATATGATAGGGCGGTTGTTTTTAGAGCTTGACCTAGGTATATTGGGTCACAACTTAGGAACACTGAATAATGTTTGAAGGAGATTTTATCCAAGGGCTCCAAGATTTATCATAAGCTTACAAGGTATAGGAATCTCTTCATGTAGCAGATCATGATCAAGTTGACTGGTTCGGACCGGGCGGTTTCAGCTCCGGGTACAATTCCGTCTATTATTCCGACGATCACTCGGTCAACAATGCCGATTAAACCGAAGACTCGCATTACACCCACCACCACCACCACCACCACCACCACCACCACCACCTCATCTCATCCCATCGGACCACTATTCTGAGCCAGCAGATTCGATCCAGACAGTATTCGACCAATTTCAACCCGTGCACATAGTAATCAAGCCTCGGGCGTCTTTCGGGTGGCTCCTTCCACCATTTCAAATACCCACCCGATGCCGCGAAAACCAAGTGGGACTTGTCTTGCTTTCTCTACAACCAACAAACATTTGAAAAGCTCTGGCTGATCCGATGCACCAGATCCACGGAAGCGCCATGCAGTCGAAGACCACAACAGTGGCTCTGAGCTGAATATGACCAGCTCAAGACGACAGAAGCGGGGAAAATATGTCTCCCAAGCGTGGTGTGTTTCTCGTTCCATCTTTGAATCCGATCTCTCCACGCACCGCAGGCACTAACGGCCTAACAGTGACCAGTGCCAACAAAGGAAGATCAAAGTAAGACACCTTTTAATTTCTCTAGTATCCTTTATTGCATTGCGAGTCCGATGGAAGAACTAGAATAATAAGGTAGTGTGACGGATTACCCCTTTGCACACCTTGTGCCGTGTATGGGCGCACCTGCGGCAAGCGAAGCACCGACATGAGGCGTCGATCGGCCAGGAACCAAACGCAGGGTATTCAAGATCGCGGTTCGACCAGGAGGCGTGACAGTCTTGAAACAACGGAGACAGTTCGCTCTCACAGCACCATGCCCCTGAACAATTCACCTAAGAATCATGGTCACGAGGGTAGTCTTACAACCCATGAGCTGGCAGCTCGCCTGGAGCATCTAGAGCAGCTGGTCCATCACAAACTCGGCACCCTGGCTTCCCATTCGAGCGTGAGTGTACATGGTGAGCGAGATCCTGACGCTGTGACAGCGACACACCCTGGGTTGCGCTCAGAAGGGACTCGTCCAGATACTACCCCAAGGCAGAAACAGTCTACTCAAGTCCAACGACTCAGCTTCTCAGGGGAGACGTCCATTCAATACACTCTTAAACAGGTTGAGGGTCATTTGGTGAATTTAGACCACAGATTTGAGACTACGATTGCTGTGAGTCCAGATCGAATGTCGACACCGGCCTTGACCCCCCCGTCCTCCCCAAGTGGCGAAGCCACATCTCGCGTGGCATCCGATCTCCACAGGCTTCTAGACAGACATGGTATTGCGGCAGACAAGGCTCAATGGGACAGGATTCTGCACACTTTTTGCAACGAGATTCACATCATGTATCCACTCCTTCATCTCCCGACCCTGTGGCACCGATACACGGAGATGTGGACCACATGGTCTTTGGCAGATATGGAGCCCTGTATGCTGATCAGCCGCCACAAACAATTTGCGATGGCTCAGATACTGATTTGTCTTGCCACGGGACGTTGTACCGCATCCCCTCGCATTGCTGGTGCAGAGGCTCGGCACTCTGCTGGGTGGAGTCTGTACAGAGCGGCGGCAGAGCTCGTCGGCGACATACTCGATTGCTTCGAGGAGTGCCCCGATCAAATCTTGGTGTTGCAGACTCTAGCTTTGATGGTATGGCTCTTCATTTTCTCAATTTCCTGTTGTTCCTGTGGCGAAGGGGAACGCTGTGAGCTGACTCACGTGACGTCCAGGTCATTTATCTATTCCGTTTGGATATAATTGGCAGGGCAGAAAAGCTTCTCGCGATTGCCATTTCTCACGCTCATTACCTGGGGCTTCATCGGTCCCTGCCTGTTGTGGACGGGCTGAAACCATCCGACGTCGAAATCAATCGGCGGCTTTGGTGGTGTCTCTATACCATGGATCGCCGACTCGCCATCGACACTGGACGCCCATTTCTGATCCAAGATATGAACGTGAATACACAGTTACCGCAGGGCCTAGATGATGATTGCCTCTTTTATCGTCAAGTGGGCACAGATTTGAGTCTAGCCTCCGCCCCAAACACACTCGACAGAGCCAATGGCGCAGTGACCCCAATCCCGTACCTTGCTGCAATGGTGACCTATTCTCGAGTGCTGGGAAAGGTTTGGGAAGGGATGTACGGCGCTGATTCAGCCATGCAATCTCCTCCTCGAAACAGTCGCCTGCTTCGCGAACACTTCGAGCACTTGATCTCTCGGGCGCAAAGGGAGGTCCCACCAGAGTTTGTCTACCATTTTTGCCAGCAGGAATCCCAATCCAAGAAGCCAGTAGGCTGGCTAGTCAAGCAGCAAAAGCTCATGCGGGTCGTATGTTCAACGTAGTATCTAATATCTGAAATGTCTGGAACGATCTACTGACACTGTGCAGCGATGGCTCTCGCTGCGCCTACTCATCCGCAGGCCCATGCTTCAAGAGACCACCTCTTCCCCAGCCATCATTCTTACCGGGCTCGACAATGAACGGATCTGTGCACAAATTGCCAGTGACGTGATGCAAGAGTGCATTGAGATTTCCGAGGAGCAGACGATCTTCACATATCCTTTTTTTCATTATCTACTGAGTGCTGCCATCATCTCAATCGGACTCATAATCAAACAGCCGTCTTGCAAGGATGCATTTGGCGACATAGCCCTGAAGGCAATTCAAGTTCTGGAATTCTACCCTCGTAGAACACGGATCTCAGGGAAGTTGATCCGGAATGTGTCAAAGCTGGGTCACATCGTACGGCGAGTTATGGCTCACAGCGCTCCCTCTGAGGGAGTTCATACATCCTGCCTGTTTGCCAACCGTGGTTACGTTTCGAGAGAATCAGCGGAAAGATCATTCGAGTGTGCAGATCGGGGGGAATCCGTGGTACAAGAGATGCAGTGGCTCGAGGCGCTTTTTGGCAATTACCTCGATTCGAATCTAATCGTTCGTCCTGGTGAATGATTGTGTAAAGCCTAGATTCTTAAGATCTGCAAAGATATTGAGCATAAATGCCGAGGTCAAATTGTGTCTCTTCCTCTTAGATGTTCCTTCCCTTACTCAGCATCTCTCCTCCTTCCCTTGTCCGAGTACTTATACCAGAGGTTAAGTCCAAATTGCTTGATCACAAGACTATCTTCGGTGATTGGATCATTCTGCTCGGTAGGAGAACAGATGGCGACTGACCGTCGGAGACAGCAGATTCCACTACACAATCGTCAATAATCACAAGAAAAGGGCAGCGAGAATGGGCAAAGGATTCATACAGTTTTCCACTTGCTGGATCATAAATGATCTTGCCCGGGTCTCCTTCCGTGTATTCGTGCCCCCGTAGGCGCAGCACTCTGTAAAGACAGTTTAGCTATCGAAGCACAGAAGTGCAGGTGATGGGCTCCTTCTCACTCAACCAGCTCCACGACTCGTGCCTTGATCGCTTTAATCTGCGATTGCTCGTGGAGGCCGTAGATGTAAAACGACAGGGGAAAGCCCGGCAGCCGCGTCATAGCGATGAGGTTTATCCGCCCACCCGGGTTCTCGAATTCGGGTCCCTGAACGGTAGATTCCCAGTTGAGGAGCTGGGGGAAACCGTCTATTCCGCGTGCTGTCCGTAACGCTTGCACTTCCCATGTGAATTCGGGTTGGACGATGCCGCTGAAGAGCCGGCCGACTTGGGAGCTACGCCGGAGGACTGGGTGCTGGCTGAATACCGGAGAGTAAAGGTCTTGGTTAGAAGTCTTGCTCGACGTGGACGGAACCTAAGCGTATAAAGCAGCATGCACTCACTGAATGAAGAACTTGACCACGACTTGCTGTTGCTGCTGTTGCTGCTCATCGAGCTTTATGGCGTGGAAGACGGCGCGTCGCTCGATGTAGGGGCGGAATACCTTCTCTGAGACCGGTCGGTCCAGTTAATACCGGGCTGTGTCGACTTGGAACTCCCTTCCTTCGAACTTGAGCAGCGTGGCTTCTTCCAGGAGGGGGTAGTCTGGTGGTTCCTCTGGGGTATTGTCGGACATGATATTGATGTTGTTCTAGAAGGGGGGAACTAGGATGTTGAAGTTAACGGGGATGATGGAGGTGAGTTCATTTTATTACGGCAATGGAAGGTGGTGGTAGGCGCCGAAAGAGATGGCGACACGATGTGGTCATGGCGGGCTTGGGGGGCTTGGGGGGATTGGGGCAGTTGCACGGCTTCAACGTCCTTATAAATCAGTTGAACACACAATATCTTCCTAGTTTGTAGAATATGGATCGCTGGGGAAGGAGGCACACGATGTTAATTAACTGAATATGTGAGAACGAAAAGTCGGCGTGGTGGACCATGGGAATGGGTCTTGCCCGTAGGAGTTGGGTAGGTACATCGTTTATCCTTATTGAGCTTCTTCCACAATGCCTTTCACACGGGGGTTGGAAGAAGAAGAAAGGTAGTGGTTGTCACTGGTGCGGATTGATCCTGCCAGTGTCTTTGAGAATCGACGCTCATGCTTGAGCATTCACACCCCTTCAATTCATTTTTGTTTAGAAACCTCACTCACTTTCTGGGTTGCCCCTCGAAGCCCTCAGCATCTAGTACTCAAGTGTATTGTGAGTATTGCTTTTCAGTGTCGCTAACTCAAAACACATCACAAGGATATTGCGGACTGCGAGGAAGTAAGGAGCAGCACACTAGGCGGCAAGCGGCTGTGAAGTGGTACTGCTGTATGTAATGGACCTAGCTTTGAGCCTATCTCACCCCGACACCCACTCAACGTGCCTCGGGTAACGAATGTTAACGCCGATTTCTCCAAAACGGCCGCGACCTCCAAATTTGGGGAAATCCCGTCCCCACTCACGGACGGACACTCGATAACAGTTTGTTCTGCAATCAGGGGGGCAATGGCCTGGCTACAGGTAGTCGCTCTGTCCTTAAAATCAACGATTGTTCCACACGCCCGGCCGAGTGATGTCAAAATTTGTAAGGACATTGACACGCGTCGGGTTGATCCACTAACCCACGCAGACATTTCAGTCAGCCTGCAAGTATGGCTCCGAGGATCTTCATGTACGCAAACCTACTACAGACCTAAGCCAGACAACAACAACTGACTGAGCATCAGCACCGGCGCAACTGGCCTCATCGGAGGCGATTTCCTACACATAGTTGTGGAAAATCATCCGGACTGGGAAATCGCCGTCCTTGTCCGGGACATCCGCAAGATCGGCTTGGTCCGGACCCACTATCCAACCGTTGAGATAATCTGCTCGAGCAGGAGAGCAGGAAACCTAATGTTGTCTTAAGTATGCATCGCAAGAGACATATGCCGTGCACTCCACGTGCAGAATAATTGACTGTCATCAGATTTCGCCAACTGCGACTACCTCCCCGCTGCGGAAGCCATCATCCGAGGTCTAGCCCAGCGTAAAGAGCAGGGCACGGTGATCCACACCTCCGGCGCCAAGATCATCGCCTGGGAGATGGAAGCCCAGCCCTCGACCTGGGGCCAACTGATTCCGCGCTACTACAATGACCTCGAGGGCGTCGCGGAGCTGACCAGTCTGCCCTCCGCCGCCAACCCCGAACCCACCGGCTACGACCATGTGCTCCCCAACTGGGCGGCGCATCGCGACATCGACATGGCCATCCTGCGCGGCCGCGAACACCCGCAGATCCGCACCGCCATCGTCTGCCCGCCGACCGTCTACGGGCCCTCGCGCTTCCCCGGCTTCACGCGCTCGATCCAGGTGCCCCGCTTGCTGAACGTGATGCTCCGCCGCCGACAGGCGTTCACCATCCACGGGAACGAGAACCGATGGCACATGGTGCACACGCAGGACATTGCGCGGATGTACTTGTCACTGACGGAGGCGGCGGTAGATGAGCACTCCCCAAGGGAGCTGTGGAACGAGCAGGGATACTATTTCGCGGAGCATGGCGAGTTTGCGTGGGGGGATGTCATTCGGCGACTGGCGGAGTTGGGGTACCAGAGAGGATGGCTGGACTCGCCGGAAGCCGAGGATCTGCCGAATCATGTCGTGCAGCGGTTCTGGTATGGCGGCCAGATGGATGTGAGCTCCACGAGTTTGGGGGTTGCGCGCCGCGCCCGGGAGATGCTGGGCTGGACGCCCGTGGAGGCGGATATCTTCTCCGATCTCGAGCGTATGTTGGATGTTGAGGCTACGTTGTTATGGCTGAAATCGGAGGCTGGAGCTCCGGTTTGATGGCCCTAGGTTTGGGGGCAGTGAGTGTCTGAAACGTCTCCGATGTATTTGTTCTTTGTTTGTGTTCTTCACGGTTGGAGCACATAGAATGTATACACGCTTCAGGCTGTATTGCCATGTTTATTGGGTTTCATAAGTGTTTTAGGTCGGCTTGTGTCAGCATCAACATCCATTATACACTCATAGCTTTCAAATTGCACATATCAAGCACTTCCGTATAGATCTATGTACTGTAGGTTTTCGACATAACAAAGCTGAACCATACAAAACCAGCAAGTATTACCCTCAACAGGTAAACCATTCTGTGAGGTTATCCATCCTTATAGTTTACCACGTTAAGGACAAACCTTTTCCTAAAAACAGAATTTTATACTTCCCTAGCTTGAAGAAGTGATTAAGGTTATATAGTCAATTGTTAAGAGATTTAAGCCTCGAAGGTAAATATTTGTACATTATGCTCACGTATTCAGTAAAACAGACACCTTACTCAAATGCATTGCTTAGCTGGTCCCGATTGGTGGGTTGGAGGAAGGATCGATAGTGCAGCTCATCGGTTTGAGTCTTAACCCTGATTCCAGTCCTCTCTACGAGGCTCTTTCCGGGCCTATCTATCGTAACGCATATGATGTTTTCTCCAACTGTACCGTCGCAGCCGAATCACGTGATAAATCGTAGCCCCCACTGAACCAGAAAAAGTACTAGGACAATCGTTCTAAACAATTTTCTTCCCAATACTTGGGCTGGGAGGTGTGATCCAAACCTTGAAGACGTTTTGCTTACAAATGATGGCACCCTCGTAGCCCCTCCCGACCCCAAGATCTGACGCGCCCAGGGCTGGCTGGGATTAGTAAAGTTGTCCCCGCCAGATCTCCAAAATTGGAGAAGCAGGTTGCATCAGGTTGGGGATAAGCTTTTCCCCACACTCAACTCTCCAACGCGGCCGTTGAAAGTCGTAACGTTACTTTCTGCAAACCGAGCTGCACCTGAATTATCTCATGAACCACTTTGTTTCTGTACGCCGCATTACTAAGGTGAGAACCTCTCTTCATGCAAAAGATCCGGGATATAAAAGCTTGCCAGGAGCTCCTGCCTTAGCCGACTTTCATCTTCAGTTTGCTCTTTCCAGTTCACACTTAGTCAAATCTTTAACTACCAATCACCAAGATCCACCAACCAACATTCTATAATCTACTGAGATCCTCAAAAATCATGTCGAGCCAAAAAGTCATCCGCATCAACGGCCCTCGCAACTCGGTCGAGAACCTGAAGGAGTTCCAGGAGCCTGTGCCCGAGCCGACCAAGTACGAGGTTCTGGTCAAGGTGCACGGCGTGTCCTTGAACTACCGGGACATCGCCGTTGCCACCTCGCTCTACCCCTTCCCCGTCAAGGACAATGTGGTCCCTTGCTCGGACGCCGCTGGCGTCGTGGTGAAGGTCGGTGAAGGCGTGAAGAATGTCACCGTTGGTGACCACGTTGTTGGTACTTTCGACATCACCAACCTCTTCGGCCCCCAATTGAACTGGGAGAATGGCCAAGGTGGTCCCATTGACGGCGTGCTTCGCGAATACGTCTGCATCCCGGCTGCCTCGGCGGTGCAGGTTCCCAAGGAATCCGCTTTGTCCTTCTGCGAATGGTCGACTCTGGTCTGCACAGGTGTAACTGCGTGGAATGCGCTGTATGGGAACATTCCCCTCCGACCTGGCCAGACGGTGTTGTTCCAGGGTATGTTCACCCTTTGCCATCTGTTTTCTTTCCTTTTTACTCTGTTTCTGCTCCAACCGTTCCCCAGTACAAAGAAAAACGCATATACCTAACACCGACCCAGGAACCGGCGGCGTCTCCATCACCGGCCTGATCCTGGCCAAGGCGGCCGGCGCCCGCACCATCATCACCTCCTCCAGTGACGAGAAGCTCAAGCGCGTCCAGGCCGACTACGGCGTGGACGAGGTGGTCAACTACAAGATCCACCCCGAGTGGTCCAAGGAGGTTCTCCGCCTGACCCAGGGCCAGGGGGTCGACTACATCTTCGAGAACGGCGGATCGGGCACCATCGGCGAGTCCCTCAATGCCGTCAAGATGGGCGGCAACATTTCGGTGATCGGTTTCCTGTCGCAAGCCGACCAGGCCAAGATGCCGGACGTCGCGGCTCTCGCCCTGTCCAAGGGCGCCGTTGTCCGCGGTATCACCGTCGGCTCCACGCAGCTGCTCCAGGAGGTGACGCGGTTCGTGGCGACGCGGGGTCTCCGGCTGCCCGTGGATAAGGTCTTTGATTTCAATGAGAAGGCCGTCGTGGAGGCCTACAAGTATGCTGCCTCTGGTGCGCAGATCGGGAAGGTGTGCATCAAGGTTGCCTGAGTGGAATGGAGTGCGTTACTAGGAGGGACACTGGCTTAGAGCTGTTCTTCTATTTCTTTTGACTTGGATGTGCGTTTGAAGTACTTGTAGGACTGGGTTGAGGTTGAGATCGGTATTCTCATCTGACAGTTATGTGTTTATAGATCTATGTTCCGTGTAGGTTCATGAGGTACATTTTGTGCACTTTTAATAAGAATTCAGTATCTCGGAGAAGTAGAGCTTCGAAAGCGCATAGATGTATCGTTGCAAATAAAAGTAATATCAAGGTCTTGGAAGCCTACCTATTGTTTCCAAATTGCGGGAGGGTCTGAAAACATTCTGGTGATGAGCCGTAGATCCCACCGATTCTAATAGCCTCTCTACGCAGTACCTGTACTGTAGCTTTAACCACGACATGAAACCTCTTTACTAAGTTTCCCTTGAGCATGACCATGCTCCCCCCCAGGCATCAAATATGCAAAAAAAAAAAAAATCTCATTAGGGTTCATAATTTTATAGTATACTATCGTTAGTCAAGGTGTTGAATACCAGTACTAGACAGATCAACTATATAATTATCCTAACTACCAATCATTGAGATCTCTCTTGGTCATCGTCCACCCCAGTCAAAAGCACAAGCAGGGTTTAGCCTTGTACTGCGGCGGTGAGCGGCGTCGCCTTCAGGCTGCAAGGCCGCAGGCCGCGATCGAGATGCTATTACATGACTAATATACCATTCAGTGTGTCGATACTAGTAGGTAGGGATGAGCCTTCAGAGTTAGGAGTATGCGTAGGTACCGAAGACCCTGGCGATTGCCATTTCGGGCGATTGGTGGTCCGGCCCCCATTCAACTCGTCTACTATGCCAAGCCTTCCAGCAGGTTAGATACGAGGGTGTTGGTATACTGCCAATGCTGACAGTATAGACAATTAGGGGCGATGGATTGGAGCTGGTTACATGGAAGAAATCTGGTGGAGGGATGCCCCTGGGGCTTACATTTGAAGGAGACCGGTGAAGATATATAACTAAACTCGTCTTCCCATGGACTAGCGCATGGAAGAACAAAACATTTTCCAAGCATTAAGTGCAGTAAGTGTTGGCCTCGTCTCGGTCAGTCTGACTGGCTTTCATTGCCTCTTCTATTGTAATTACCCTATCCTTTCTAACAATCTCACAGATTCCTCTCTCTGTCCACCAAGACAACACGACACCCATCACCAAGACACTCACCATGCTCATCAAACCCATAATTGCCACCAGTCTTCTGGTAACTACCGGCGCCCACGCCGCATCCCACTACGTCACCGTGAAGATGTGGTCCCACTCAAACTGCACCGGCACCCCGCACGAGGAGACCCTGGTCTTTAACACCGGCAGCGGCCCCCAGGTCTTCCAACAGGGCTATAGTTGGCAGAGCGGGACGATTACTAGTGGGGTCTCCGTCTGCGGCGTCAACTTCTGTCAGTCCGGCGAGAGTTGCTTTGGTCATCCGATTGTCTACGTGGGATGGTCCCCCAATTGCTTCACGGGGGGTGATTCGATGGATCTCGACAAGATCATGGTGGATACTTGCTAGGTCTGCAGAAGCATAGGTCTTTTCATTTGCTGTTATTCAAGCTTATGGCCTGCATCGTTATCCTTGTCATCTAGTTTGGGTTACCTGATTTCCGCGCTTGGGGGCATGGTTTGATGGGAGGAAGCATGGACTTCGCATATGTTACGGTGTGCCTTGTTGTGATAGTATAGATTACTATAAAACTGTATAGAAGCCCAAGAAATTATCACGCAACATCGAACACCGTGTTCGGCATTATCTCGTAGCTGTGGCGGGCTGGAATCTGTGGTTTACGCGGTTTCATCCTATCTCTGTACAGTACCTAAAGATGCCAAGTAATCAGTAAAAACAAAATAGTTGAGAAGGGCGATGTGCATAAACGGACCGACTCTTGGTTGTGATGCCTGAAATCAACAAGGATGCATCATCATATTCCCATTTTGCTAAGGAGACACAAGTGGATGTATGAGGGATTCCGGGCTTCAGCACTTCAAAAGGACCGACCGCTAGCCTCGATGATTGGCTGCGCTTACTTCATTATCCGCCGGTTGATATGGAGTTATGCCCCATTTATTTTGCTTTATGTATTATAATCATAGCGTTCGCCTTCACGAGAATGAATCATGGCGGGATGCACACCAGAATGAAACTGTGTCGGGGAAGGATGTAGGTCTATATTTTTTTTGTACGAGTTACCCATGTATGAGCATATAACCATCATAATTCCACTCTTTCTTCGGCCGTGTTCGAGCCGCATCTGAAAGTAAGTGCCCTATGCATCAACATTAACTTAGTACATGTTAGTTCCCGGCTAGTTTCATGTTAAACTCGATTCGTACTAAATATGTCTTATTCCCAGCACCCCTATTGGCCTTCCAAACTTTTTATGACCCCGATCTATGCGAGACTGACTCACCAACACGCAATACCACCCCCAAGCCCTGATTCTATTCCCTAAGTAGCACATAAATACCCTCTTCACCCCTCCCCCCCCCCAACTCCCCCCCTCTTACCGTGCACAACCAGACTATCTCGATGTCAACAGCACCGCAACCAGATCCTAAAGCCCTCGCCGCCCGACCAAGCCCCTACACCTATACCGACGAGCAATGGAAGGTCCACACCGTCCACCCACAGCGATACTATTCCCGCAGTAGAGAAGATGGAACGCTTCGCCCCACTCTCCCAGCGCCCTGTGTTTCCATAGGCAATCCGGACATTGCGCCACGAACGGCGGCCGAAAAAGCCCGCGAAGCCGACAAGGCGCTGTGGGGGAGCTGCAAGAGCGTTGACGAGTACGAAGGGAAGAGGCGGGAGATGGACGACGTCGCCGCCGCCCGCGCAGTGGAAGCAGGACGGCCGGCCTTTCATCCGTTTCCACGCCTGCCGGCCGAGTTGCGATGTCGGATCTGGGTCGTGGCCATGGTGAACAACCCAACCCGCATTGCCATCACCTGCTCGGGGTACACGCCGGCGCGACGACCGCAAGGGGGATGGTGTGGGACGGTGGCTCCGGGACGTCCGAGGATTTATGCAGCCACCGCGTTCATGCCGCCGCTGATGCTGGTCAACTGGGAGGCGCACGCCCTGGCGTCGCGCCACTACCGGCGGGCCTTTCGGGGCGTCAATGGCGGCGGGGGCGTCCTCGCCGCCTATCCGAGTATTCTCACGATCGAAAAGCCCATGGTGCTCCTCCTGCCCATGGATCGTGCTGAGGACCTCGGATTGCTTGCAGAGATCGTGGTGATTGTTTCCCCGGGTCTTGGTGGCAGGGTGGCGTTTTCCACGGAGTACTCGGAACGATTCAAGATGATGCTGAGGGTGGGGACCATACGTCGTCTAGAACTTCGGCTGACGAGATCGATCCCCCGCGACCGGGCGCGCAGAGTTGAGGAATACTTTGCATCGCTATTCTCGGAGATACAGGCGGCGAATGAAGAATGGGTTGCGCCGGAACTGCAGGTGGGGCCTGTGCATGACGAAGAGAAGCCTCGAAATGATTCCGAATCGTCCTCCAAGGACTTGTACAGTGATGACGATTAACGTTACCGACGACAGACCTACTCTAGCACTAGCAATTCTGTGATGGATCAAGTACTCAAGTCAATAGTCGCGTAGGATCAAATTCGGTCCATTCGGCCGGTTTGCGTACCTATTGCACAAATCTCGGAAGAGAAGAAAGTTATGGGAATCTAGACTTTAAACTCAGTGCATTCAAGTCCAAAGTCCCAACATGATCAAAGTTCTGCACTCTGTACTAGGTACCGATCGTCGGAATCTGCCCTTTCGGTTGATGATGCAGGCATGCAAAGCTTGCACCGATTATATAGTCCCGCTCTCATGAGACTGTACAATACAGTAACTACCTGCCCCCACGGTTGAAGTAGGCTCAGCCGAGTTTTCATGCACACCCAGAGCCATGCGAGCACCACAAATATCAACATACGCAGTGTACCGAAATTTCGGACAAAATCAACCCGGAGTGCCGTGTCTTCTACCTAGTAACAACAATTCTGCAGATAGCGCATGTCTAGAGCCCCTGCAACAGCCTATTGGATATGACATGCCATTCTTCTTGAAGCAACCCTGTTATAGGACTACTGATTTTATCCGCTCGACCCAGACATGTCCCTATTACCCAAATGCCAGTCGATGGCAGCGCCCGGTGAACAGCATTGCTCTCGGATAGAGCGTTGTTGTATTCACCACATCGCCTTCCGCCTTCCGTTGAAATTCAAGCATTCAAGCATTCGTGCACAGTACATCCTGACCGGCCTGTAGACAAGAATTCTGAGACCAAAAGCAAACGGAAGACCTGGGAACTGTCGATACTGGTTACGCAACTCACAATCGGAACGGCGCAGCATCGGGGTACTTTTCCGGCAGCGGCACAAATGCTCCGGAGACCCGTTGCGTCAGATGGAGTCGTGCTGGGAGCCTCGCAGTCGACGCCCACGATCCCCAGCTCCTCACTAATACAGCATTGTGCATTGTTGTAGATTTGGCGGGCAGAGAAAATCGGTGTCGGAATTACCTGCCATTGTTGTTGCTAGGGCTGCCGTCAGGGTTGTTGCCGCCAGGGTTGTTGCCGGCTGGGATGATGTTGTTGGGGATGCTGCCATCATTGGTATTGCTGGGGTTGCCAGAGCCCTGGGCTAGAGATATTCCTAGCAGGAACGCTACAACATGAATGATCTTCATTTTCGCTGAATCCGAAGCAGAGATTGGCTAGATTGAAAGGACTCTTGGATAATTATTCTTACTTACTGAGCTTGATGGATTCTGGTCTTCAGGCTTTGACTGGGCAAACGTATCTATTTTTCGAAGGATGGGGGGTCTGTTTATTGAGAAAACCAATCTTAGGGTCAAGGAAGCCTGATGTGGAATGTGGGGCTCAGGAACAAAGTCACAATCGTAAGTTCCACAGCGAAAATGATTTGGAAAAAAACACACATAAAAGCGATCATTTGAATATGTTGGACTTGTATGCTTATGGTTGCGAAACTAAGAAGGGAAATGAAGGCAGATCAACCACTGGCGATCATTGCATTCGGACAATATCTCAATTCTTGGCGCTGCATCCACAATGTAACAAGGAGATGGTACTGTCCAGTACAGTACAATTGCCATACTATTTTCTCAGCTTGATTCAACCAATTCCTTACGGCGAGAGAGGAGAGAGAGGGGGGGGAGTTGGTACGCCAGTCGTGCTCACATCAGGGGCTGCTTGGCAGCTTCCATGGAAGATGACCGGAGCACAGGGACTTATTCCGAACTCCACTGCCAGTTTCAATACCGCCAGCCGAAGCATAGACCCGAAGCTGACATCTCGTGTCACTTGCCATTGCTAGGGGCATGGAGATTGTCAAAGCTTGGCGGATTGAGGACCCGATGTCATCCCGTCAATTTGCCCCAAATCTCCCGAATGCATTCGCCCTGCAACTAAAGTCATCAAGGCATTGTTCGTTTCTTTATCCACCCATTCAGGTCTGCTTCACAGCCATACAGCGTTTGAAGTCTCGAAGTCGGAATTCCCTGTTCTATGAGCGACTCCCATGCCCGTTCACGGGGCGCCCACACAAGCAGGAGTTGCGTCATTCCCAAGCTTTCGGGCAATCCGGCAAAGACTTCCTACAATAGTATAAAAGAAAGAGTGCTACTTTCCGCCAGTGAAGCTATAACTACTTCATACGTCTATGTTTATACACGATGACCCTCACAGGAAGAATTTATTCATGATTCATTACTCCGGGTCCTGAATAAATATACATCTTTTCTTGTTGATTGTATTGTCGATTTCCGAGATCCCGCCGCACGCAAACTATTTCCGCTGAGTGTGAAGCTATGTTGTGCACCGCCACCCCTTCAACGCGCTCCCCCTCGATACCACCCGAGCCCTAATTACTGGTAAAATAATTCACTGCCACCAGCGTCCCCAGCTTAAACTCCGCCTCCGCAGCATCAAGATCATAACGCATCCGATGCATATTCCCCAGCTTCTGCCCACCCGGCGGGGCGTACTTCTTTCCCTCAAAGGTCGGCGGCTGCTCGTACAGGAAGAAGATATAACGATGCGGGGAGCTGCCGGGGGGCGGGGCGGGACCGATGTAGTTCGCCACGAACGGGGCCGTGACTTTCAAAACGTGGACACTCGAATCAGTTTCTGATGCAGTGGGCTGCAAATCCGGCTGGATCCAGTGCAGGATGGGGCCGAGGACGCCGAAGGAAGGGAAGGGGGCGTCGATGTCGAGGCCGATGACCATGTAAGTCGTGCTTGGCGAGAGGCCACTGAAGGAGAGTTCCGGCGGGGATTGAGCTTCTGTTCCACAGCATCAGGCTTGTTTGTTAGTTATGGGTTTCACGTTGCCCCGCATTTTCTGGGTTGCTGACCCGCTCGGGGGATGTACTGGCCCGGTTGGACATCCCTGTGTTGGCCGACATTCAGGCCAAGCACTTTAGTGGCGTCGGCCTCGATTAGCGAGAGGGCTTTTTTGACGCTTTTGTTCGCGGGCATCGTGTATGAGGATAGGGAGGGCTTGGCTGGTTTGCTTGTGTGATGTGCATAAGCTATGTCGAGGGAATGGGTTTATGGTCTCTTCCTGGTTGTTGGATTGACTGAGCTGACGATCGGGTTTAAGGGTCGGAGATTGGGCAGCTCCGTCGGAGATAAGAACCACGCATTCAAGTCAACAATCCATACAATGCTCTTATATATGGTACACACAATATTCCGGAGATAAGAATGCATCTTGTATCTCCATCTCATCGTTACTGGGCCCAGTTGACACAACAATAGATATTCGATAAACATCATTGATGAAAAATGACCTGCGCTGTTACAAACTCGAATCACCTCAACTCCACTAGAATGTGACTCTTCTTCGGATTATTATAATTTCTAATTCAACTCCAAGCTATTGCAAAGCAAGCCGGAAGGTTCTTAAAGCAAAGTAAGAACCACCCACTTTCCACCCCACTGCCCTACTCCTTCATCGGAACATGCTCGCCCGAGCCGCTTTCCGTGCCACTAGAGTCTTCATCCGACCTCCAGCCCCATGGGTGTCGCTCCACGTGTCGGGCTTCTATGAAGATCTTCCAGAGGATCGTGACGGTATCATGACCGAACCCTGCACCCTTGTAGGGTTTGATTGTGAATTGGTACTAGAAAAGAACTATTAGCACAAACTCTCTCTCCCCCAGCCCGGAACTCCCCAAGGATATGCTTGCCTTCCCCGGGTATTCGAATCGATAAAAGGCCATTGTATCGCCGTCGGTGGTCAAGCCGTAGACGACAGGGTCCTGCTCGCCCGTGTCTTGCCTGGCTTCGTGGACCATAACTGATAGGACAAGGGTTGACTAGTAAGGCGCCCTGATTCCAACATGTCTAGGTGAGAAGAGCTAAAGAGCCACATACGCAAGTAAGCTAAAAGCTCCGTGTCCACCGCCGAACTCATCGGTTTGTCCCTCTCCAGGACCACGAAGCGCACCCGAGGGCGACGGTTACGGTGACGGGAGATCACCGTGGAGTCCGGCAGGTTTGCGAGTCTCAACCAGCTCCGTCTCATGGTATAGGCCAGTGCGCTTCTCGACTGCACGTATGTCATGCAGGCGTTGACGCCGTGGACGATGTTCACCTCATAGGCAATGCGGTGGAGCGTCCACTCGAGCGCGTTGCTGGGGATCTTGTCACTTCGCTTGGGCTCGACGAGAGAGGTTTGCGTCATCGAGGTGAGGAACTCAGCTATCTGACTATCAGTTACCCGTGCACTTGACGCACCAAACACAACTGGTGTGGGCAACCAACTCACCAGGGATCGGAACACTAGCTGAAGGGGCGGCCCAGTCGTAGCCCTCGTCGCTCGGTGAGACAGCGAACGTGCGGGTGAAGAAGTCGTGTTGGAGGGTCCCAGCCCAGAGGGTAGGTGTCTCATCTTCGGGTCGGAACCTCAGGCGTCGGACGCTATCCTCGAGGTCGTCCAAATTTTCTCTCTCCTCTGCGATCCGTTTCATTTCCATCTTGGCGCACTCCAATGCTCCGCACAGCTCATCCATGCGGAACTCGATCGTGGTGATGGCTGACTCGTGGGACTCGAGCAATTGCTCCAGCTCTCTAGATGGGTCATCTATGTTGAATGAATGTTCTGAGAGTGGGAGCAGATCTCTCTCCTGCCATCGATCTAATGTTCTTGACATCTTGCAAAGAACAAGGAATATGAGGGTGTTTTTGGATCTTGATGAAGGTGGAAAGGTGTGTTAAGTTGGACGTGTGGCAAGCTGTGTGCGACTGTTGGCAGAAGTTGTGTTCGAGGGGCCAGATAATGGGGTCAAGGTCATGGACGGGTTGCAAAACTCGATCCGAATGTTGTCATGATGATTGCCACGCTCCATATATCTGCGGTAGGAGTCTCCATGATGATGTACATACGGTCAGGGATTGAGGCCCAGTCATTTCCCCAGGACGAGTTTCTCCCATATCATCCATCAAACAAGACACCACCTTGCTCATTTGAGACCCCACACAGACCTATCATCCCGTCCTTATATCCCTACATCAAATCACGGACCATGCCGTGTTACCTATTCATCAAAGTGGGTGCATGGATTGACGGAAAGAAAGAGACCTTTCACGAGAAGCGCGGGAACTTCCACCAGGCGCAGGGCGCACGCTTGCGACTCTTCGCTGGCTGCCCGCAGATTTGAAGATCCATTTGAACTGCAGCAGGGAGTCCAACTATGGCGCAGCATGATATCCCTGATCCAGAACGACAACGACCTCAACTTCGCGATCCAGCACGAGACAGCTCTGCAGCACAAACACCAAGCCCCGGACGCGATGCTCCAGCATCTCGCCGACACCAGCGATGTTGGGTCTGGGTCCATCTTCTCGGCCATGTCGCAGATGCAGGCGATTGAGAGCGAGCTGCGCACGGTCCACGAGGAGATCTGGAAGCTCAACCGAAAGGCGCACCGGATCCTGCGCAAATTCCCCGTTTGCTTTGAGCCGGTCAAACGTGCGGTGTGCGCCAACTGGGCCAGGCCGGACTGGCACATGACGGAATTCCTGCGGGAGGGTTGCGCGGGCCGCAGCGGGTGCTGCGGGCGCGGGTGCGGCTGTTGCGCCAGACCCCGGAGTGCGCATCGCGCGAAGCGGGGCCATTGCACCGCCGCCTGCACGTGCTGTGAGCGGGCCCGTGGCTTTGCGGTGGGAAAGCACGTTCGCTGGGAGCCCGTTCGTCTGCCGGCTCTGGATGATGCCGAGTGGATCACGGGGGACATGTTGCAGCTGTTGGTCGCCTATGCGTTCGGGCTCACGGTGGAGAATGACTGGCTCTGAAGTTCGCTGTGTCTTCATGCTACAGAAACATAGCGCTGGACTTGGTAGATTTGATATAAAATGCTTATTGGGAGCCTGTTCTAGATCAAACCTGTGCACTTTGGCTTGGGTCTTGCCAATCCTCAGATCACCTACGGTCCTGTACTTTTGTGCCTTGACAGTTTTGAGGGTTCTTGTGTCCCTTCGTTTAAGCTTTCTACGTGACAGTGGAATGCCTACAACGTGCGAACATTGGAGACATTGCGAAAAGGGAAACGGAAAGGGTAAGGTTGCTTACACAGCAACAGTTCTGAGAACGTTTTTTATGTCATAACAGGCAGGGCTCCTGGTAATCTACTAGGTACATCAGGACTCATGAAACAACAATATACCAGCAAATTGACAACTGGAGAATAGTCTTATCATAAGTAGTACGATGACGATATTGCAGGCCGCATGAAGTCAGGGGTTCGGCCGGATTCCTTCACTCGACAATAGTATCCAGCGTCTGTGGTTTGCAGGCCAGGCTCGAGATATACCAATGATGTCACCTATGTGTGGGCCATGCTGCTGACCTGCAGATTCACCACCAATCACTGCAGGTCTAATTGACGGACATACGCTTAAACCCGCGTCAGCTGTCAGCATTTAGCCTCTGGTCTGTGCGGCGACCCACACACATGAAGTGATCACGAATAGGAAAAAGCGCCGAGCTCCCGAGAGCCCGAATCCGGCGCATCTCTGTCATCAACCTTAACGTAGCCGGGCGATGAGCCGATCGGACCCTGGAATTAGCGATGCGGTGCTCGATTCACTGTCGCCTATTATTTCCTCCGACTCTTATATATACCCCGTCCCAGCTGTAGCAGAGTTCAGACAAGACTACAGCATACACCCACAACCACCACCACTTTAGTACTACATCTTCCCTTCATCATGGTCAAATTCCTCCCCTTCGGCGACCTCCAAGTCCCCTCGCCCGGTTTCGGCGCCATGGGTCTCAGCTTCGGGCTGGGCAACAACCTGAGCTACGAGGAGGCCGAGCCGGTGCTTCTGAAGGCCATCGAGCTGGGTTGCACCTTTTGGGATACAGCCGTACGTTGACCACTCTCACTTTCTTCATAGCATCTCGTTCGAATTCTCTAACTATTTAATGCACAGGTTGTCTACCAAGCCGGTGTCAACGAGAAACTCCTTGGTGACTTCATCCGCAAGCATAACGTGCGCGACAAAGTCTTCAGTGCGTCCCCCTTGCCATCAGCGCACACAATTAGACCACTAACCCGGATCAATGAACGATCACAGTCGCCTCCAAATGCGGCTTCGACGTCTTCGGCAACAAAGGCGTCACCAACTCCGCCGCCCACATCAAGCAGTACATCGAGGGAACGATCGAGCGACTCGGCTTCGCCCCGGACCTGTACTACCTGCATCGGATTGACCCTAGTGCGTTGTGCTACTGGACTCCCAGCTACAGTTTCCCCGACACTGACGAACCCCGAAAATAATAGACACCCCCCTCGAAGAATCCATCCCCGCCCTAGACGAGATCCGCAAGGCCGGAAAGACCAAATACATCGGTCTGTCGGAGTGCTCTGCGGCGACACTCCGCAAGGCTAACTCCAGTATGCCCCTCTTCTTTCTCCCTGGATGTTATTACACTATGGATCAACGTATTAATGGTTGTCATCCGTAGTCGCCAAGATCGACGCCGTACAAGCGGAATACTCCGCCTTCGAGACCATCCACGAGACGGACGGGCTGATCGAGACAGCCCGGGAGCTGGGCGTCGCCTACGTGGCGTACAGCCCGCTGGGCCACGGCTGGCTGGTCGATAACTTCGACTACCAGTCGCCCGACGACTTCAAGCCGGATGATTTCCGGCGGACTTGTACGTACCCCCCTTTATCCGCAGTTCCCTAGAAAATCGTTCCGGACACCTCCGCCCTTTCAGTCTAGTCTGATGAGCTGATTCTCGATTGAAAAAAAGCCCCCAAATTCCAAGGCGAGAACTTCTACAAGAACAAGGCGATCGTAGAGGAAATCAAAAAGCTGGCGGCGCGCAAGGGCTGCTCGGTCAGCCAGATCGCGCTGGCCTGGGTCGCCGCCCAGGGGATGATCGCCATCCCCGGGACGACCAAGGTGGCCCGGCTGGAGGCGAACTGGGCGTCGCGCGACGTGGAGCTGAGCGAGGCGGAGCGCGCGGAGATGCGCCGGATTGTGGACAGCGCCAAGCCGCAGGGGAACCGGTATGGGGCGGCGAACCAGGCGCTTGTTGGGCATTAGGGAGGTGAAGTGGAGTAGGAGTGGAATGATAGCATTGCATAGTTCCAATGGAAATCGAGAGAATACAAATCCCGTGTCTGGGTATATACTGTATCGATGAGGGCATAGTCCACAGATACACTGCTACTCCCCCCCCCCCCCCACCCACCCACCCAGCACAGAACACTGGCACCCATGAACTTCAACAATCCGATCCAACCACACGACTCGATTTACATACTCATCTCTCCCATTCCCTCCACACACATACACACGAAAGCCAACAGACAAACCATCAAGAAACCGCCTTCCGTCCAACACCCACCACAACCCGCGCCTGGTGCACGACGACCCTCTACGTCTCTTCAACCGCCGCAGCAAACATCTCCACCCAACGCTTCCTCCACAATGGCGCATCAGGCGCATCAGGCGCATCAATCCTGGCCGGAAACAAAGGAGCATGGTTTCAGAGTCACTTTACCAGCACTGAGTTCAGGCAGGGAGTATTGGGATCTTATAATGTTGGGGAAGGCAGTGACACACCAAGATCGGCGGTACAAACCGTCCAGATCGCTATACTGAGCTACACCTGGCATTGCGATCTAATATAGTATGCAGTGCTTGTTAGAAGTGCTAAAAGCGGGAAATCATCTGGATTTCTCTCTCTGCCCTGACCATTCAAGAAGGGTTATTTTACTTGTAGCCTAAGAGGAGGAAGGGTCTCATCTCCTAACTAACCCCAAATCCCCAACAAATTCCACATCGTCATTCTAGTCCCTCATGTGCAGAATAACCAGAATAAGATAGAAGACTTTTAAAAAATCATATTAAACTAGAACCCCATAAACCCATACGACGCAGATAAATCCAAAACACAAAACCGCACCTCCAGATACAACAGGAAACGCAAACTAGCAAGTATTCACCAAGATCTTGTCGAAGGCCATAGTGGGGCCGCCAGTGTAGCAGTTGGGCGACCATCCGACGGACGCGTCGGGGTTGTTGTAGCAGCTGGAGCCGTACTGGCAGAAGGCGACGCCGCAGGCGGAGGCACCGCCGACAATCTGACCGCTGGCCCAGGTGTAGTCGTACTGATAGACCTGGGTGCTGGCGCCGGTGCTGTAGGCGATGGTCTCCTGGTGGAAGGTGCCAGTGCAGTCGTCGCCGGTCCACAGGTTGACGGTGAGGTACTCGGAGGTGGCCAGGGCGCCGGTGGCGGCGAGGAGGGCGGTGGCGAGAGTCTTGGAGAGCATTTTTTCGTTGATTGGGTTGGAGGAAGGTAAGATTCTGTACGGGTTAGATTGATAGCTGGGAAGGCGGCAGATGGGTGTGCTCACTGAGGAGATTGGAGAGGAGATGAGCGTGAAGATTGAGATTGGGATGGATGCTGCTGGGGGAAAATTGTAGCAGCGGGTTTCTCCACCTATTTATATTATCGAGGTGCAGGGCTTCTCCTTGCAAATATCAACTGCCGGGCAAACATCTATCCCATCGCTTGTCGAAACATTCCACCACCTGACAAACCGTGAGTCCGTCGGAGATGACCTAACCCTCGTATTCATCTATACTCCCACCTCGATATTGTGAGACCCTCGTATTTCGAATAGACTCTAACCTCAGCACGGCTGGCGGGCCGGACCGGTGGGGCGAGAAGTTTCTTATCTCTAACAATCAGCGGCCGCATCTTCCCCTGCCAAAATTACAAGGTCCACTCGACGACCCTGACCTCTAACCTTATCCAGAATATGGAGTTGGGGACCTCATCTACGCCGAAGAATTTTTCCAGTGTGGACCTCAGGGGAATACGAGGTTGTCTTGTGCCTGCGGGTTCCTCAGGCTGTAGAGAGTAACTTGACTACGCTGCAGTCGTCTTGGCGGACCGTAACGGGGAATCTCATCGCTTCACGGGGACATATCCTTTGCAGGCTATATCAAAGGTCTTAACACAGCACTAGTCGAATGGTGTCGGAAGGTATGTCGCTTGGTATGAAAGGTGCAGCTATCGATTGCGGTATCACAGAGACATATTCAGGGTTACCCTAGGCTCCTAAACCCCTGCTTCCCTACACCTCAGACCCCAGGCAAATACCAGGTACGTACTGCAGGACTCAGAAACGACAAAGGTTTCTTCTTCAGGGATACAGCCGGCGGCACGAGCCGGGGGAAACCCTAACATTACCAAAAAGTCTCTGGCTCTCGATCCGCTGCCAGATCTAAGTGGGTCGGGTCATGCGGTGACTACACCGCATCAAGCTATGGCGCCGCCGACCCTTTTGCAACCATTGGCTCTTTCGGTTGAGAAGAATTCACTCACTAAATCCTCGATAGAATGATTCAATGAGGGAAAGGCCAGAACCATTTCGTGATAACCAGACAACTCGTTATAGCCAGTATGCATACTCGGCTTAGCGCGGTACGATTGCCGTTTTTTTCAACGACTTGTTACTGATCAGTAGTACTCTCTTCAATCTCTCCCACACCACTTCCTAATCAAGAATGATCCGAGGTTCATTCGTGAACGAGGCTTGGAGGATAGTATAGAAAAGTGGATCTACAATTTCAAGTTAAGACGTCCCTGACAAATGTAAGTTCATTCTACCGGGTATCCGCTCTCCAAACCTTGGCTCCTCCGAGAACCAGACACACGACCTCTCAACTTGGAAGACCCTTCGTGCCTGAATAAGTGACGGAGTCCTCTGCCTCCTGTGGTTGGTTGAGCTCCTCACCGCTTCGGCCGCGGCGTGTAGAGAAGTAATATACTAGTTCCTCCCAGCTAGCCCGGAACTTCACCATCTTCACGCTCTTATCAATAAATATCGTTCTTAATTATTTCGGTAAAGTTCTTCCTCAAAACTACACTTATCATCCGGGGAGATATTTTCGTGTACAGACTGAACATGTCTCGCGAAATCCGGATGTTTGTCTATGGGCGAGAATGCCAGTCCCCCAAAGGTACACGTTATGCTCACGTTATGCTAAACACGCATCCAAGAATTCGGTATAGCAGGATTTATCCTTCCGCAAACGATGATCACCCATCTCAATCCCGCCCCGGGAAACCCACCCTACGCAGCCCCTTCCTCCCCCTTCGCCTGCGCACTCGCATTAATCTGCACATCCGTCAAATACGCATCAAACTTGCGCAGATTCACCCTCTTCTCGAACCTGCACACACTTGTTAGCACATCCACCCAACCCACCACACCATAATCCAGGGTAACATACAACTCATCAATCTCTGCCGGCGTCCGACGCGTAACCTCGGGAAGGATAAACCACGCAACAACCACCGCGACGGCGCCGGTACCAGCGAAACTACATCCCTCGCATTAGCTTGCGGTACTAGACTGACTACTTTTTGACCAGATGCAGGGTCAGGGTCGGTGGGGCATTGACATACAAGAATCCCGTCTTGGGCCCCCAATGCGTGGACACCCCGTTGATCATCAAGGGCGTGCAGAAGCTGAACATGATGGCGACCAGATTGGAGAGCGCCAGGGACCAGGCGGCGGTCTGGGCGCGGAGGCGCTGCGAGGGGATTTCGGCCGCGTAGGCGTATCCGATGGCGGAGGCGCCGGTGGTGGAAAAGGTGGCGAGGCAGGCGAAGAAGATCTGTGCGGTGGTTAGCGCAGAACAGGAGGAAAGGGTATGGGGGGTAGTAGACTTACAAGCAGGGAGCTCAGGCTCGATTTCGTGTAGTCGAAGCAGCCGACGATCCCTAACGCTAGGACGGAGAGGACGGTCACCCCGTACGGATAGACGGTCAGGGGCCGCCGGCCCACCCGGTCGGTAAGCACGCAGGTGACGATCATTGCGATGATCTGCACGCAGGAGAGGATCAGGGTGACGAGGAATGGGTCGTCGTTGCCGGCGTACTGGACTGTGTCAAATGTCAGGATTGATCATCGGGGTGGTGTGTGATGGGGGAGGGGGGTGTACAGAAGTAGGTCGCGTAGGTGTTGAACACGGAGAGCCCGACGAACTGCTGGGCGATCTTGGGCCAGCCTGCGATCAAGAAGCGGAGGAGGTTGCGCCCCTGGAACACGGCCCAGGCCCCTTGGCTGCGGTTGCGTTCTGCGAGCCGCCGTTCTTCCGTGATCGTCGCGGTCATGATGCCGATCTGCTGGTCCACGTTGTGGCCCTGGACGCGGCCGCAGCAGAGGCGCAGCACTTGGGCCGCCTTCTCCGGTTGGTCCTTGCCCACCAGCCACCACGGCGACTCCGGCAGGAGCACGAAGATGATGCCCGCAACCCCGACCATCGCCCACTATCCACGGTCAGCGCAGTCGTCCCGCGGGATTAATTCGCAACACGGACCTGAGAGTAAATTGGCGTTCGGAAATCATAGGGGTCAGTAGAGTGCAGGCGGTTGAGGGCGACCGAGGCGAATAGTTGGCCGATGACAAACCAGCTGATATCATTTGCACGGTTAGTCGTGAGGTAACAGGGTGGGATAAAACCAGAGGCACGTACAAGCTATATGCGTTGATGAGGAACCCTCGCAACTGGGTCGGCGCAATCTCGGACAGATACAGAGGCATGGTCGACTGCAGCATCCCCACCCCCATGCCGGAGAAGAGCTTGGCCACTAGCCAGTGATCCCAGTGCGTCGCGAACGATTCGATCATCACGCTCTATTACCGACATCCTTCAGCAGGCAGTTGATGGACGGGGAGACAGGGCGCATACAATCACAAAAGTAAGGAAGATAATGTACAAGGCGATCTTACGTCCGTATCCGTCGGTCACGTACTGGAGAAGCTGTATCGCAGGTCATCAGTCCCTGGAAACAAAAACATTCAAAAACTCAAAAGACTTACAATTTGACCGACCGTCTGGCCAGCAGACTGAATACCACCCCATGCCGAGATGTACTTGCCCGCGATGATCGACGTTCCGGGACTAGCCATTTGCTGAATAAATCCGGTGTTGGACACCACCCCGCCGTTAAGGTTAATCTCTGGGTCAATTAGCGACTCTCCTCTTCGTTTTCTTCCTTGAATGTTCTCCCCAGGACAAACGTACGGTACCCATCCAGCGAAGCACTGAACGCGGCGGCCATTGCGATCATGGTGACGAACCGGTACCGGCCTAGACTCTCCCAGACACTAAGGTCATCGAGCTCCGACCGCATCAGCGGCTGGCCCTTTTCGGTAGAGGCATGGTGTTGCTCGGTGGGGAGGTGTTCGACCCTCTCGATCTCAACTTTCTCCTGTTCCATGGCGAAAGAAGCACCCGTGTGAGGAACGGGTGAGACCAGAACCAAGGCTGAACCAAGCCCTCTGCGGGGCCCCGCATTTGGATTTATATCCTATCCGGAAGAGGCGCACGGGGCGTGTCGGCTAAATTGGATTGCGGGGAAAATGGGGTGTCTCCCGCTCAACAATATTCCCCCAATCAGGGCGTATACCAGGGGATTCCAGCTTCGGTAAGCTTTTGCCAATGATCAGCCCAGTTGCAAGTGCGCTAGTATCCCCCGCAGCTCGCTGCCTCTTGGCCCGACGGGGAAAAATGAGCCTATTAACCGTTCATGCGGTTGTCACCGGGGCTATAGACTAATGAACTTCTGAGTGGTGAGTGAAGGGGGCCGCTAGGGCCTTTGTGCACTGTTGACGCATTCCTATATCTGGCCATACGTCCCTCCCACCACAAACATGACAATAGTATCTTCCCCGGAACCGAAGTCGCAGCCTCCCCCTTTATTTCCATGCATTCGTGTTCAGCCTCTCCCTGATGAGGGACGAGGTGGATTAGACCGTAAAATTCCCGGTCGGGCTAACATCATTCGACGACGAGATGCAAGTTGCAAAGACCCTCTGAATCTCACCTCTGGGTGACATACGAACGGACTTATTAGGGTTGCGGAACCGTTCACCTCCTTGCAACTCGAAACCACGGTCGGCCCAGCCCAAGTTCTGCTTAGCCAGGTAGAAGCAATGCGTGCCAGGGAATTTACCCTCAAGCAGTCAAGGCTAGCTGCGACAGCAGTTGCGGTTGGGATCTGACCTTCTGGATGAGTATTCCGATGAACCCAGACCCTGGCCTAGGGTCCCCGTTGACTCGTGACGTTCGGGTCGGTCGGGCTGTTTCATCACCCACTTTCCGCCTGGAGATGACCAACTGAAGCTGCTGAGCTTCGGTCGAATCGAAGCACTATGTATGGGACTGAAAAAGCCCCGAAATCCTCAATTCGTGGGTTAAAGCTCTCCTTTCGCGTGAAGCACATCACATGGTGATCTCGGCTGTTTCTTGTCCGAGCAGACCGAGTGCGGAGGAAGTATCCACCCCTAGTAAGCGGCTGCAGCTAAACCCGCAACCCCGCAATACCTGATAGAGTAGACCGTAGGATACTTCACGTGGAGCGATCGTGCTTAACTCCTGAGGCATGATGTAACGTTCGAGCTGGAGTATCTGAGATGACTCCAAAATACCATCTGAAAGACGAGAACAGGGCCCATTCAAAGAAAATCAGAGTACATGGTCAACTCCCCAAGATCGAGATACTCGGGGCTGTATTCCTCGCCCAAGGGAGACGGCGTTAGCGCTCTTGGTAATTCACAGAGTTACAACGATCGGAGGGTGGAGAGGCTGGGGACTTACAACATCTGCTGAGTCGCCGAGAAGGCCGCCGCCGCACCGTATTCCAGGTCCGCGGAAGGGAGCGGATTCCCCTGCCCTAGGCCCACAACATCCGACCCATCGTTCAACTCCACCACGCCGCTACAGAGACTTCGAATGATGCGGCCCTGTAGCGTCGCGGACTCCAACACCTCCGCCACAGAATCCATGACCTCGAGGGCCAGGTGGATCCGCTCGCGCCATGCCGCCACCGCCGCCGCCCCAGACGACTCGTTCCGCACGCACATCACAGGGACCAGCACGGCGGGGAAGATGAATTGGAGGGCATACCACCCCTCCAAAGCGGTGCGCTGCTGATGCTTCCCCTGAAACCAGAAATTGGCGATCGCCCGGATGGATTCGTCCGCGGCACGCTGGCAGCGTTGAATGGCTTCTTGGACGCTTTCAGGGTCCGCGGGGAGTTTCGGTGGATTGACGCTGTGTCGCGTGGTGTAATGCCACACGATGAAGGGGCGGTACATGAGGATCTGAAAGTTGAGGCGGCGCCAGAAGAGCAGCGCGTGAGCGAGGCTGTATCGGGCTTCTTGGGGGGCGGTACTGCGGTAGAACGCGGGGAGGGAGACCTCCCATTCGTGGATGAGGGTATCGTCGTGATGGATCAGCTCCCGGGCGCGCGGGTACGGGACGGTGGTGATGCTGCTGTACACCTTGCTGATGGTGGAGTAGAAGGCGGCTGTGAATTTTAGGCCGGTGTATAGGATCGTCTGGTTTGCTTCGGCCTGGATCGCGGGGGTACTTGGGGTTAGGTCCTGGATCGAGTCAATTCTGTGACAGTGGGGGAACTTGGTGCAGAGAGACGCACCAGGTCTTGAATGTTGAGAGGCAGATTGACTTCGACCCCGGCTTGGGGGAAGTCTTGCGGTCTGGAAAATGCGAGCGCATCTTCCAGGTTCAACGTGTACAGGCTCCACCACACGCGTCGGCGGATTTCCTGGTAGAAAGGGTTGCTCTCTGGTGTCGGGAACTCCTTGTACAGCCCGATCCCGATCGCGGTCCGATTCGCCAGGCCCAGGTAGTTGTAGCTGGCGTTGAGTTTGTTCCGGATGCGCAGATATCGCGACATCAGGGTCAGGCCCTGGACCAGGGTCTTGTTGCCTGTCTCCATCATGTCGGTGGAGAAGCGTGCCTTGGCGGCCTCGAAGAGTCCCCGATCAGTGGTGTCATCCGTCGGAGAGGAGATGGCGAAGGCGCCGAGCGCAGCCACCGCATAGAGGAGCATCTCCCACAACGTCCGTGATGGTCGCGGGTACAAGTCCATCAACTGGGCGCGGAATGCAGTCTCGTGTAGGAACGGATGCAACGGGTGACAGTGGGTGAAGTATGCGTCCACATACTGCCCGATCGACGATAGAGGCACGGAAGTCTCCGGAAAGGTCCGTGGAGAGCATGCTATGGTCATCGGGGGGTAGGCTTCCTCGTGATGACCGGTCGTGCGCAGGAAAGCTCTAGTCGAGGCGATGCCTTCACATTCCCATTAGCATTGTAACCCGCGCGATTGGGATGGCGGAGCAGACCAAAATATCCGCCACCGGAATGCTTGACGGGAGCCTCGGAGGCGTCTTGCAGAGTGCTATCCCGTTCATCCCATTCAAAACTGGCGACTGGAGGTGCAACTTCGGGGGGAAGCAGGGTGCACCGCTCCGTCTGCCGCGTCTTGAGTAGGGATGAGCCCTGATCAACTGCAGCACTTGTGTCGGGTGGCTGGGAACCAAGGTCATCATTGTCGGGATTCAGGCGCGCAGGCAATTGATCTTCCCGTCGGCTGTCTCGCAAGAGTGTCCGCGCATGATTGAGCTCGTTCTCCAGCTGAGTCAGATACCTTCGGGTCAAAGGGGTTCTATTGGGCCTTTGATAGTCGCATAGGCTGCGAGAGCGCTCGCACGTCGAGCACACGGGCTTGGCACGATCACACTAGCTGCGTCAGTACGAATCGACCTATGAAGCGCCTGATGGCGCCAGACCTTCAATTTCCGCCGCCTACACTCTCCACAGGCTCTTCCGGGAGTCTGGAATGTCCTTCTCATACTGTCGATGGGCAAAGTGGAGTTGGTCATGGCTACAGAGGAGCAGGAAGAGGAAAGGCAAAGAGATTTCCGATCCCGCTCGGACAGCTCGGACTTTTCTTTCCGTCTTCCCGCCTCGGCTTCGGTAATCGCCATCCGTCATCCCAGAGTATACAATTTCTACATAGTCCTTGGTAAATCCACATCATCATTTGCCATAAAAGAAAAGAAGTCAGCTATTTGTACGCAATACACTCCATCTCCACCAGCGCTCCCAGGGGCAACTCCTTCACCGCCACGCAAGTCCGCGCCTGGAAGAAATCATGTCAGCCCTGATCCTCACTTTCCTGAACTGTACCAGGGACCTACCGGCATGTGTACAGAGAAGTGTCGTGCATAAACACGGTTCATCGCAGCAAAGTCGTCCATGGTGGTGATGTAGACGGTCATCTTGAGGATGTTCTGCAGCCCGGATTCGGCTGCCTGGAGGACCAGATCCAGATTGCGCAGTAATTGCTCCTGGGAGGCCAAGTCAATAACTCAGTGTCAAGATGGTATGACACCACCTACTGTCTGTTCTTCCACTCCGCCAGTCACCAGAGTGTTGGATTTTGCATCCAGTCCGATCATGCCAGAGCAGTAGACTGTGTCTTTGTGGACGATCGCCTGCGAGAAGATCGGGAACGGTGCGGGGGCTTGGGCGGTGAAAATGGGGGTTTTGGCTGCCATCGTGATTCAGAATTTAGATGAGTGGAAGGAAAGGTATAAAGAAGATCAAAGTGGGCAGAACAAGCCTTCAACCGAATACTGTGGCAGAATCCATGTCCTTTCACTTCATATATATACGCATAACACACTAGATAGAAGTGGGGCTCGGCGAACCGTCTCCGAGCGGAAAGCAACGGGAGTCAAAATCGCTCGGCCACCAAGCCCCGAGCCCGCCAATCTTTAAATCGATCTTCCTCCCAACCTCCGCACCTTCTCCAACCACACTCAATCTCATACCACCCTGCTCAATCGGATACATCCCGAAATCAAAATGTCTCTCACATACGCCCTGGTAGATGTCTTCACGACCACCCGGTTCCAAGGCAATCCGCTCGCCATCGTGCGTGTGCCCGCGCAGCAGCGCGACACCCTGACCCAAGAGACCAAGCAAAAGATCGCCACCGAGTTCAATCTCTCCGAGACCGTCTTCCTACACGAATCCGCCTCCCCCACCGACCTGCACATCGACATCTTCACCCCGAAGTGCGAGATCCCCTTCGCGGGACATCCGACCATCGGCACCGCATGCCACGTGCTGGAGCAACAAGCCTCCGCCACGGGGACCCGCAGCCTTCAGACCCTAATCACGAAAGCGGGGCCCATCCCCATCACTGCCGCCGATGACCAAGTTGGCGCCTCCATCCCATTTGCCTACCACCAACACCAAAAACCCGTGCAATCCGCCCCCGTCATCTCCATCGTCAACGGGCTGTCGTTTGCGCTCCAGCAGCTCCCCGATCTGGCCTCCCTGGCCGCGGTGACCGAGGCGCTGCTGCCGGACTGCTTCACCACCGTGCATCTGGATGCTGGGTGGGACTCCGGCCCCACGGGGAGCAAGTACTATGTCGATCTGGGCCGGGATAAGAGCGGGTGTCGCACGCTGCGCACGCGCATGTTCATCGGCTGGGAGGACCCGGGCACGGGCAGTGCCTCCAGCGCGCTGGCGGCGTATCTTGCGTTGCAGGAGCCGCACGAGGATGGCGCGGGGCCCTTTGACTATCATATCATTCAGGGGGTGGAGATGGGCCGCCGGAATGATATCTATGTGACTGTGGAGCGGGACGCGGGTGGGGAGAGGATCGCGAAGATTTTGCTTCGGGGGACGGCGGTTCTGGTGGGCGAGGGGCGGATTATGTTATGATTGCTGAGAGTATGATTCTTGAAGTGTGGGAGGATGTAGTGTGAATATACAGAGTGGATCCTTGCCAAAGCAGACGTAGATGGAGGCGCTAAGAAAGGCTGGTCCGATAGTCAAACACATAAGGTATCTGGTATCATGGTCACAGAAGGGACTCGCTGGTGGTCATCCACCCATGCTTAAGTATTTTTCAGCACTACTTTATACAGAATATGTCAAGGTATCAGGACTGTTTTTGAACATATTAAAGTCAATTTTACATATAAAATGTGATGTTGTCGAAGAAATATTACAGTATAATTCACTTCATTTGGAATACTATGGTATGTCTGAAAAGCTCAAAGGGCAAGGTTTGCTTGTTAACTACTATCTGGATTCCTTTAATGTTGTAAATGAAAATGAAAAACGCTGACTTCATTGCCAAGAGTTATATAGACCCGGGGGGACGTATGGCCTCGAACAATTGCCGTGACTATTTTACCAACAAGTGTTCCCTCCTTCTCCCCTGGCAGACAGGCATTACCCTTTTTCTCCAAAGGGGTTCCGACCTCTCTTACCTATACCTATCCTCACAGACCTCGCCACTGAGAACAGTACATAAGAGCATCTAACTTTCCAACTGCAGCTCACCCCCAGTCAAATCCTCCCCAAAAGACAAAAGACTGTCCAACATCAGAGGGAGGTGTTCGTCCGGAAACAGCCGGTGCAAGCTCACCGTTCCAGTTGCGCAGGTGACCAGACATTTGACCACGGCGACAACGGCAGGGTCCCACCTCAGACCCAGCAGGCAGCTCATGATGGCCTCCATCTCCCTCTCGTACTGCTCAGTCTCGTAGCAGCCGGCCCCGTCAATCACGCACATCACCGTCCGGTCCGGCGGGAGCTGCTGCATCAAGCTCCGGAAGACGGCACAGAAGGCGGCTACATCCCCGTGCTCCACAACCTCCTGCATGCTTGGATCCCAGGACACGTGGGGTGCAAAGGTCTGCTGCTGCTGCTGCTGCTGCTGCTGCTGCTGCTGTTGTTGTTGTTGTTGTTGTTGTTGTTGTTGTTGTTGTTGTTGTTGTTCAAGCAGTTGGCAGATCAGACTCTGCATGAGGGCGCGGGGGCCCGCGTGCTCGTCGTCGACGTCCACATGCTGCGCGCAAAAGAAGACCAGGGCGAGGTACCGATGATTCTTCCGCTGGTGCACGCTGCGGGTGAGATGGGCGCACACCAGGGAGAAGGCCAAGGCGGCCTCGTGAGATTCCGTCTCCGCGCCGCCGAGAACCAGAAGCTCGGTCGACGTGAGCGAGGCGACCCAGCGCCGGAACTCCGTGGCGTGGAGGATGTCCCTTGCGCTGCTGCGGTGGCGGAGCGGGATCGACTCGCCGTCTTCAATGACGGATTCGATATCGCGCTTGTCGAGGCCGACAACCCGGGGGCGTCCGATCCACGACCCTGCGGCTATGGTGCCCTGGAGCGGTGGGGAAGATATATGATAGGGGTGGTAAGGGAAGGGGGGATATTGCCACGGCGCCGGGGAAGGGTATGGCCATTGTTGGTACTAAGGCGGGGCGGCATATGTGCCTGGAACAGCCAGGCTCGGGGAACAACATGAGATCGGATGATGATGGCAATAAGAATACTGCGACATGGGAGATGCACTTCGGGACGGGGTTGCGGAATGACTGCTTTCTTCGTCAGAATGTCAGGATCGCGATGCTTTCAGCGCCTCGAACCATGTCTCTGTGGTTCGAACAGTTAGTTCAATGAATGAACGTAGTCAATGCAAGATTTGGTGGTAATTCACTTTCATGGGCGTCTAAATATGCCTTGAACATATTCGCGATATCAGCATCCCTCTGCTGCAGATGATTGGTAACGGAATAGAATTGGCGTATCCTGTCCATAAAGAGACCCACTTTACATCTTTGATATTCGCAGTGAGTACCCAACGGGGTGCATATACGGGGAAGAAAAATGATAGTCTAACGGAGGTAGGAACGGGAGAGGTTGTTAATATAGCACACCTATATCCTAAATCGATAGCTTTCCTTATGCAGACACTGCAGATGAGTGCGACACCAATCGATCCCTGCTTATTCCAGGCTATGCTTCTAGGAACGTCGTCTTCTATAGACATCGCATACGGAAAGCCTGTCAGCCAAAGAACACTCTACCACAAAACCAAAGTTATCCGGTTTCTCCGGCACGCGATTATGCAACACAACAATGGTTATCTTCCGGCGGGTACGGTCTATGCAGGTTTGTATTTACTGTATCATAAGGTATGCCCTAGCATGATAACGCTCTCCCATCGTGACCTATACTAAATGTACTTCTGTACATCTGCGAACTAACTACTCACTATCGACAGAGATTGAACGGTGAGCCTATTGAGGCCAAGCATCACGAAATCGGCATGAACGCGATCCTTATGGGAAGAAAGTTCGCAGTATGTCCCTACGCCTGGGAACTTAGGTAGCACACCAGTCACCTTTTACTCGCCTAGCCGTATCGTGCCAGAGCCACGGTCAGATCAACTCAATTTTTTACCGTTTGCGGAATGGGTAAAAAGTGGCGACTACGATGAAAACCCCCCGAGATACTCTGTTACACAATCGAATGGAAGCTTATTCTCAACCGCAATGCGGTAGGCAGAGTGAGGGAAGATGATTCGGTTGTAGCTGCTACATAAAAATGTATTTTTGGTCAAGGCAGAGAGGCGTTGACCGAGCCACAACTAAACACCTTCAACATCATAAAAATGTCTAGATGATCAAAGAGCGGCAAGAGCCAATACAGCTGCAGCACCGCCGGCAGCCCAGCGCGCGTTTCCAGTAATCATCGGCATAGCAGCATTACCAGATTTAGTCGGACTGGTGGCAGCAGCACTACTGCTGTCCGAGGAGTTGCTGGTGCTAGTACCAGTGCTAGTACCATCGGTAGTTGAAGCGTCGGTAGTCAAAGTAGCGCCGCTAGTCGAGGCAGCGGTAGAAGCCGATACGGAGGCACCAGTGGTGGCGGCAGCCTTCTCTGTTCCAGTTCCGGTGATAGTGACAGGCATCATAGCGCCGCCACCGGGGATTTCAGTGAGGGCGACGGCAGAGGTGAAGGTGGTGGTTATGCCTTCCTCGTCGAGGCTTGCGGCGCAGGTCACGCTTACGGAATCATACTTGCAGTTCTCAGCGATGGACCTGTTTCAGGAAATGATCAGCCATTACTTGTGGGGTAGAACGAGGGCTGGATATACTCACATACGTCCCGTGCCGTATGCCAAGCTGACGGTTGAAGAGCCTTGGGCCACGGTTATGCCATCAGTGGGAAGGCCACATTCGGTGGAGTCAACACCAGCACCACACTTGACGAGATACTTGGTCATGGAACTGGTCTGGGATAATATTGGTTAGGTTGTTATGCGGTAGATTGATAGAGATATGATTGTGTGTTTACAATGCCAATGATCTTGCCCTCAAGTGGTTGCTCATCGAAGCCGATTAGGAAAAGAGAGACTGTCTCGGCAGCGACGGCGGCTGTGGCTCCGGCCAAGAGGAGGAAAGATTGGATACGCATGTTATATTGATTCAACGAAAGTCAGGGTGTATAGTCAAACGAGCGACAGAAAATCAGAATTCTAAAATGATGATAAGGGGAACAGATAGAGCGGCCAGCACCTTCATATATGACCAAAAATTATTTCAGGGTCCCTGCGGGTTTGGGCCAGTGTCTAGTCTAAAGCCATTTCGGATAATGAATGCATCACGTTGAAAGGGAAGCATCTCATTGGCTCTCTTTTTATATTCTGAGGACTAAGCGATACCCTCTAGCCTGCTTAGGTGCTAGTGTGGTGCTAGTGTCGCCGAAAGCTATACCGCTATACCTAATTTGTCCTATTGCACCCTTTGGTGGCTGACAAAATAACTCTATTGCCCCTAAAAAGTCGGATCGATCAAACTCCAGGTTTTCGACCAATATTACATTGCGGGATAAGGTTTTTTGTGGGAATCTGGACTTTCTGATTTTGGCCATATTTGCCTGATATTATTTGCCAGTTACTAAGCAGAAGATAATAACTATCTAATCAGAAATTCATCGGCAGAAGTGGACTTGTTGACCTGTGGACCGCAACTGAGTGGTAGACAACCCCCTGGTTATCCAGGCAAAGCAAGCTGAGATCTCGATGGCACTTAAAGTGCAACGCGAATACCAAAATTTGATATTAATACGTCTGCCTGCCAGTCGTCCCACTGCAGGAAGATAAAGGTGAGAAATGTCATGCCGAAGAGGTGCAGCTTACGTGGAATAGGAGGAAAGCCACTGCAAAATTAGGCTTCCCTCCATGAACCCGACCTTCACTCGTGGTTGAATGTCATACAATGAGTGGCCGGGGCCGGTGGGAACCAAGAGGTCGGGAAAAAGAGATTCCTAGTATCTACGAATCAAACATTGGCAGAGAGCAATGGTAGCATCGTACGCTGGGAAGCAAGTCTGGGTATAGAGAGAACACAGTTCCGGTAATTCCTGCAAGCAGGAAGATGGTGGTGTGAAAAGATGCACACCTCGTTCACTCATACTAATTGTACAGAATTAACGCCGGGAAAAAGCCGGGAGGGGCAAAGATATGCCCACAAAACGTAGGTATATGAAGTTAGGCTGTAGCCGCTGAAACCCGATTAATAGCGTTCTCAGCCACCCGCTGGAGGTCCGCAAACAACGCCCTCACATGCTCCACAGAACCCGCAGCGGTCAAGGATTGGAGGATATGTAACGTGCCGGCCCGCAGGAATTCAAGATTCGTTCGCGCAGAGACGATATCCAGCTGTTTATGGATCTTGCGAAAGATCACAGAGATAGCGGCCATGCAGTAAGAAATAGGTATCCCCGTAAAGCGCCCGATGTATCCCGGTGCGCTTATTGCATTGTTCAGGGTCACGACCAGGGAGCGCGCGGCGGTGAGGCAGATAGTTTCGCTTGAACGGATTCGAGGCCCGTATTGGCCCAAAATTGAGCTTTGGTTTGTATACTGCGCTGAGATCACGAATGACACCCAATGTATTGTTCGCATCAGGTTGAAGTATTGAAGGTGAAGCCATGATACCGCGGTGTAGAGTTCAGCTTTCGCCAGATTTTCCTCCTCTGGCCGGCACTCTATTGGGATGGCATCACGCCATTTGATAAGATCGCGATCGAGCATAGAGAGATATTCCAGTAACCACGAACCCGCTTCAACGCGGTTTAGTAATGGGGAAAGCCGATTGGCTATAATGGCTAGGTGCACATGCCATGTATGGATAGTCCCTACTGGCCTCTTTACTGGGAACGTTCCAGGCCCGAGGGAAAGTGACAGCAACACTCCATCCGCGTGTTGCTCAGTAATTGCGGGAGGCCTACCCTCGGAGAGTGAAAGGAACGCGTCCAGTGCATATGAGACTTCCCATAACCTAGCTCGCCTTTGTATCTGTTCCTCGCTCAGGCCGAGTTGTATTGGGGAATTCCGATGCAGACCAAGCGATTGTGCCACCCGAATGACCAGGCCGCAGTTTACCCATACTATCCCTAATTTGCCGGAATATAGAAGGTGAAGCGTGTGCAGAAGAAGAAGTTCAACGGCATCGATATACGGAGAGGCGAGCACCGCCGTCAGGAGAGACCATGCGCCTTCGTAGATGGAATGAATTTCCTTGGCCCAAGGTGAAGTTGAATCGCATCCCTGTTTGTGCGGCATGCTTAGAAGGCCTATCGTGGTTAGAAGACAGAGCCGGGAGAATGTGACCGGATCTTTCATCAAGGTTTTATCGCTGTAGGTATCACGCCAAATCTCCAAATGTTGCATCCCCACGATCGCATACCGCAGGTGCACGTTCTCTATGTAGGCAGTAATGCCTTTATCGGCGATATCCATTGAAGGCAGCCGGTCTACATTGGCAGAGACAGGTTCGGACATGGTGAACTCATCCAAGTGGCGAATTCCCTGTACAAGATGATCAATACTTTTCGCCTCTAGAACTGACGCACTCTCGCTCGCGGAATACTTGAGGCAGGTTGAGATGGTGGTCCCGACAGAGCTCAGTCCTAAGAACTTAGTATTGAAGGTGCCCTTGAGCAGCAGTAGTCCTGGGAGTGGCAGGGCTTGATCGATATGCGGCTGCGCCCCCAACGAGATATCTGTCTGTGAGCCCAAGGCAGGAAGGATCATGCCACCCAGGCTCCAGGGTTGGGAGACTGAGAGCGCTGGGGATGGGGTGATCAGATATGAGAGGGTCGATCGGACCATCCTCATTCGCGTTTCGGGTATTGTGGAAATCCGCAGGCCAGAACGACGAAGGGGACATGAGGCCTAGTTCCCGAGCATAATGATCAAAGTCGGTGGCGGCGATGACAGCGTTTAGCTGGTATTCTACCTGGGTCCCGCTCGTATTCCAAGTCTCCGGGCTGGGGTTTGCTTGATTTGCGTCTGGAATCTGGGGATGGGGCGCTTCCTGCCCGATTGCGATGCTTGGAGAGGCTTCTGCCATCACGTTGCGTTTTGTCTTCTTCCGCAGGACAGCGCTTTTCCTGTCATTCTTTCTTGAGGTGGCGCAGCGATGCTGGGCGGAATACGTGCATCTCGATTCATACAACCGGCAGCTCATGCAAGGTGTCTCGTTAGCAGTATATTTTAGCTATAGTAAGTTTGGTCAGCCAGTCTCAGGACCAGGAGGAGCCTGTGATGAGCAGAGACGCACCCGCGTCTTACGGCAGTAATCGCAGGCGTGGGTGACGCGTTTTGGCGGATTACTGATGCTTTGGGACTCGCCCTCCATAACGATGAAGCTTGCGGCTACGGAGGATTTGGGTGAAAGGCGGGAGAAATTGCTTGGAGCGAGGCGACAATGGACATGAGAACTGAACGCGGGGGAGGCCCGCACGTGCGGGGAAACGCGGGCGTCGCGAATGAAGCCCGCCAGTTGCGCCAGAGGCAAGAATGGTTCCTACTTACCGACGTCCGCTACGGCGGACATCCAAACCCGAGTCGATCATTACGCCACCAGCTTTTAACTAGTTAACTATTTGCCTTGTCTTCCCGCTGACACAGCGGATCTTGGGGGCATGGGGGGAAAATGACCATTTGAGGGAGTGGGACTCCCGTGAGCGGAACCGAACAGAAAGGCGTGACTTGGGTCAATGAGACGGGAAAAGCCTAGGGGGGTCTAGGAGAGTCTAGGAACTCCCGAAAACGGCCAGCACCGACTAGGCCCCTTCGACTTTCCTTGCTGCCCGAGAGCTTCCCACGAAGGCGGTACATATCCAGGAGAAGCGAAATTACGCACTGGCGTCAGGCCTTCTCTTCGTCGCACCCTCCGCCAACCACGCGTCACGGGTAAAAATGAGCGCCGCAAGGGAACACTATCAAGTGGCGTAATCTCCGTGGAACGCAATTATGATCTTTTACGTGGCTGGCTGCGGATCTGTTGATCGCGCCCTCAAAGCTAGGCGCAATTTTCTTTTTCGTATTAATGTCGACCGCCCTGTGCTTATTTGGAATTGCGGAGCCCCGTGGACTTCCCCAGATTCTGGCGCGGAGTTATGGGGAGTGTGGGGTCATGTTTTTGAGGTACCAGAGTTCGTCTTTCAATTGTCCCACTTCGGCCAGCAAGGAATCACGCTTGGCTGTTTCATTGTTCAAAAGATTCTGCATCCTCGCGTGCTCCGCCTTCTTCTTTATTCGGCACTTCTTAGCAGCGACGCGATTGCGCTCAAGATGCTTGGCCCTCCCGGTATTGACCTCGTTGCTTGTTGCTGACCTTGTCGAAGAGCGACGAGTCCATTGAACTGGCTGTTTATGTAGCCTTATCGATGGCATATTGGAGGCCTTCGAAACTTGCCTCTCATATGGCTCTGTCAAAAGGAAGTCCTCAATTCGTGATGGAAGAAACGGAGACAGATATGGAAATTCCGTTGTACTCAGAGTAGACGGCTGTGATGGTTTTATTGATTGTAGCAGTGGTCGATTAAACCCTCTAAGGCATTGATCGACGTGGGAGGATAAAGTAATGTTGTCATTGCTGGATGGATTCCGGGAGAGGAATATGTCCTGTTAATGTTGAAGCTAAAGGATGAGAAGTCCAGGAAAACAGGGATCAATTTTGGAACGTACAATTTTCTTGAAATTTATCTCAAATCTATGATGAGAGATGGCATGCAAAAAGCGGAGAACACCGTCTTATTGTATGACGTTTATCATCCATAGCCAAGGTACGCTGAAAACGAGGCTGCTTGATTCGAAGCATGACCTGATAACCAAGGCTAGTGTCTTGTCCGCCTAGCTTCAAGGAATGGTAATCTGAACCTTATAAAACCTGGAATCAACGAGAATCTATCCAGTGGGGTCCTTGACCTTACACTGTTCAGACTTGGTTCCCGGATAATAGATCCGCAACATTCGAGTTCTGATTGGATGTTATTTTAGGCTCCTTAATCCAGGCTGCCTTCTACAATAGTCTAAGTATTTTACAATACAGCTTCAGTACCATGTGTTCTACTATACAGGAAATCAGCAGACACGCGGTACCTCCTATATCCTCTTCCTTTCGTGACAAGCTGCAACTTCCTGCACAATGGCTTCCTGCTTACCGACATTAGTTTAAGCGCAATGGGATGAAATATGTTTAAAAGCAAAGTATACTAAAATATATGTAGCGCAGTATAACAAATACGTATGACTGGATTTGATACGTCCGTGTTGTCTTTTCTTTCGATTGCTAATTTGCAGCTTAGAGATTTCAACTAGTTGGTTACAATGTACATAATTTACGTTCGGGTTCCGAGCCATCTCAATAAGCCCATAGAATAAGAACCAAAATGATACCAGTCTTGAAAGAGTTGTTTTATTTCTTCAAATTAAGCCGCATCTGCTTTGGCCGCTCGCAACGAAGACGTCGGCAATCGAATAGCTACATCAATGGCGGAATGCCATTTCTCAGCCTCGTTGGGACTTTGTGCCCTGAACCTGAACTCAGTGGTGGTGTGAAATGGATTCACGAGGCTCCTGCTGGACAAATCCACGCCTTGAACAATGAAATTGACATTATCGACAGGACTGATGTAACAGTTCGCTAGGAACAAGGACAGCTCCGGAACTGTATGTCGGGAAAGGTCATCATAATAACCGAAACCATACAAGTAACCTGCTGGTGTAACCACACAATGGCAATCCTTAGTTGTACCGTGAGAATCGCATACTAGGTCGCCTTCGATTATAGGTTTCGTTGCTCGATGGTCCTTGTTCGGAAACGTTGTATATACGGACAACCTCTGCATAGCTTCATGATCCAATGGTGCCGCGTTCTTTCGCTCCACGAAACTGAACCATTCCAAATCCGGATGAATTAGCTGTGCAGTACCCAGAATGTCACCGTACATTGCACGTTGGTGATCGAACTGGCCACCCATAAATTGGAAGAGCTTTGCTAAAACACACTGCACCGTTTGTAAAATATGCATTTCGAACCACAGAAAAGATTCCTGAATCTCTCGATTTTCTTGTCGATCGTCCTGTTCTTTCGTTGCTTGCTCATGCAATTGGCTGTCAACAACCTGGCGGAGGAGGTAGGGATCATGGGACTGCTTAATCATGTTCACGGTGCCAGCATCAAAGGACCGAGTGCTCCTAGCAAGGAGAATAATATGTTTCTGTGTTGCGCGCCATGCTTTCTCGATTAGACTTGTTCCTCTGGATCTGTCAAATCTCAATTGTTTAGCTTTGAATTTGATTTCTTCAATCAGGCGCTCCAGCATAGGTTGCACACTGTCATTGAGATTCTGCTCAGCTGCGGCATACACATTAACCATTTCCTGGAGAGGAGCCTTAGATTAGCCGAGCCCCAAAGAACTATGCATTTGTAAATAGGACCTTTGTATTGATATATATGTCCTCGAAAAGCCCAGCCACCCCATCTGTGCTTGGTTTAAAATGATGGCTTTCCTTGAGCGGAGAGCTAACGCTCTTAGCCCAGAGAATCAGTTCGATGCTTCCTTAACTGCTGACGAGCAGATATCTACCTTCAGTATCATTTCATATTCCCTTGACTGAGATTTCTGCGCTTTTGCAGTTGCAACAATATATGAACGGAGATATTCGCATACGTGCTTCCACGCCATGAGGCGCTCGAGCAGAATATGAATAGTCTAGATGTAGGAAACACTGGTTACCGCCTTGTTGCCTTTAGAGGCAGCAATAGACAAATGTCACACTCACCTCACCACTATCAGAACCCAGAACTGGCTCCTCATCCGCTGAGCAACGGCTTAAACTCTCGCCGTCTGGGGCTCCTAACTGCTGGCTCTGCTCATCTGAGGCTATAACCGACATGTGTGAGCAACACAGGGGCTGGTACAGTTGGCGATAGATTTACGAGCTGCTAGAAAGTCAAGACTGTTCCGTCTTGCGAATTTTATACGATTCTGCGCAACATGAAGCGAGTTTGGAAGTTCGAGGGAAGGTATCTCCAGCCGACTTCGTCTGAGTACTAGCGAGTGATTACGTCGGCAGGATCCGTAGTGTTATGTAAGAGTGGCAAAATGCGGGATTGGTCGTAACCTAGTAAGTAAAAAAGCGCCTACGTCATGATTCTAGAGAATGCCGAGATTTCCGTGGTCTGGCTGATTCTGTTGATAGCGGTTGAATTATTCTATCAGATGCGTGAAATCCAGCTTAGCTGGCCAGGCCTAAGGACAGCTTGCAGTGATGGTTATTAAGCTGTGATCAAGATTCAGGAAGTAGGGAAAGTGAAAATGATGTGTAACTTAACAAGTGAAAAGCACAAACAGCCGTGAGCTGCTAAACTGTCCTGTTTGGCGATTTTTGACAAAATTAAAAGCGAGAAGTATCACGCCACTCAAAAGATGTCACGTGTCGTTCCTAACAAATTCAGCTAAAAATGCTCAAGTGCTTCAGAATGTTGCAGGTCTATTCCGATATTGATGATAATGTGCTTGCTGTTTTCAACCTGTTTGGCCAATCCAGAGCTATTTACTTTGTGTTTTATAACATCAACTGATTTAGTATCAACAGAGGCTTCTCCTGGTTTGGTCCGTACGGGACCGATTGAGAGGTCAAGGAGTAAGATTGCAGTCGCTTGAGTAAGAAGGTGGAGGAATTCCCACCATTGCAGGACATTAAAACACCAGCTCAAAGACGCCTGATCTGGTAGTAATGCTATAGCAGGGAGGGAAGACCGGATGCAAGCTAAAGCAGAAAGATTGCTGAACCTTGAGCGTGAAAGTCGTCCGCCACTTTTTCTCTCAACTGCAGGCCGGCTCGAACAAGGCCGATTCAACACGATTTGACCGCTATAGTAAATGATAGGGAGCGAAATCTGGAACAGAGAGTTGATAACCCGTAGCGGAGTACCCCGGTTGTCTTGGAAACGAAAGGATGGATGCAAGCTTGAAACCCAGCTATCCATCTTTCTGCTGAACAGTGCAATGCGACTTTCGATCCGGCGCCATTGTGTTCGATGGCTAGCGGTAGAATATACTCCCCGGCCGATAGCTTGAGTGATCAGGCAAAGGTCTACTAAGTAGAAGTGGTATGGAGACGAGTTAGGGCTTATGGTCTTCAGAAGAGCTCTTTGGGAGTCCAAATGCTTCGTATTCGTAGACATGATCCACTTCAGGCTATGAAGCTGCGTAGCTGGATCCTCGGGACTTCGATAGGTGTCGATCCCGGCGTGGACAAGAGTAGGAAACGTGAGGGGCGGAGGGAGGGTGCTTGAGGATGATCCAGTACAAGAATCCCTTCCCCTCATAACGGATAGTAGGTGTGCTAAGCGAAATATTGACCACCAAAGTTGCTTTCGAGTTTCCCCAGAATTCACGTCAAAGCTATCATTTTTTCTCTGAGAATTGAGACCTAGTGAAACACCGGATCGTACTGCGATCGCAATCATTTTCCAGGACCTAAAGCGTTAGTTGATAACCAAACAACCTGAATTCTCGAACGCACCTGTTTATCTGCGAGATAGTAGGAAAGAAAAATACCATCAAAGCTTCAACCTGCATTTGCTGCAGATTATCATGCTCATAGAGGATACTCTCTGGGGTACAAAGCGCCTTGGCGCGTGCAAAAAAGTGTTTCTCGTCTGCACCCCCTCCATAAGACTGGAAAACACGCTGCCAATAGCGAGGCCGAGATTAAAGATGGCCAGCCATTTTCTGGCAGGGTTGACAGAGCCTCGAAGGTAGCAACGACGATGCTGATCACTAAAAAGATCCCGGCGAATAAATGGCATAGAAATTTGGACCTTATCAAGGTATGTCTGTAGCAATTTATCTGACAGGTCCTTTGGGGGAAGAATGAATGGATTGGGGACGGTTGGAACAGAGAGGATCGGATCATCAAGATGACAATTCACTGATGCAAGCGAGCCACCGGTTGAAGCTTCGTCACTATCCCATCCCATTGTCTCTGAATGCACCAGACCGCACTTTAGTGGGGTGGTCCCGATATATAAAGGACGCTAATGCTTGAACCTATGTCAAGAAAATTATTTTTGGTATCCCGTCTTTGAATATTTGTCTTTGGTAGCTTGTCCTATGATCTACCTGAATATGGAACAGCGTTCTTATGAGATGGGACTATACCGCAGTGGTATCTTGAGATATTTCCAGTCTCGGGAACTTTGGCAATATGAGCAGGTTCTCATAGTACGACATTTATCACGGGAGGAGATTCTCAAGAACGGTACCATCTCAAGAGGGTCGTTAAATGACCTAGTTCCCAGGAGCTTTGGCCTCTCAAGAACTCAATCATAGGAGACTTGTCTCATCAGGTAACTCTCGACACTTTAGTCTTTAGGACGCCTACACGAACCACTTTCCGTCACAGGATGAGCTTCCCGGCATTATATCGCTCCTGGGAACTTCTTCAAGTTATGTCCAAACTCTCAAACCAATAGACGGTCTTGGAAAACTATTCTCACATGGTATATCCTTCTATAATAACATTCGTAGACTCTAGTCGGAAAGGACAACGTAAAAAGGAAAAATGAGGGAAGGCCAAAAATCCTATAGCTCCTCAACCTCCTCTAGCTGTTTGAGCTGTCTTCTTTTCAACGGCCTTACTGGCCTGATAGGGAACTGTGGCATTAGAGCCATGGCTCCTACAGATTGCCTTTCAGCCACAAGTTTCTTTTCCTCTTCAGCTGAAAACATAAAAATAGTATTATAACCATCCGTAGTTCTTGCACGGAAGCACATTGCAGGACTGACACTGTCTCGAAGATGAATATAGAGCGCAAAGCCTTTTTGCATATTCGTTCTACATCTGTAATGTCTGAGGGTTGTATCCGGATAATATCGGCCACTCGGAATTGACCACGCTCGAAAGACATGAATTTGAAGTCAATCACTCCTATCTGGCCTGTATTGGCGCTTGAATGGACGGCTGCAGGATGAGGCGGCTCATAATGGATCAGCTGTTTCCCGGCATGGATGGAGTGTTCAAGCCAGTCGTTGCGGCTCTTGCCTTGTCGAGGCTCGGATCGGACACAGCCCCAACTCTTTGTCCGGCAGGATCTTCAGAGGAATCTACTTCCTCTTCCATTGCCCCTAGAGGAGCCACATTCCTTGTCTGGTCTTGTGAATGTACAGATTGGCTTTGTCCACTACCCGAAGGGAAGATTTGAAATTCTTGCTCGAGTCGTTCACGTTCCCAGTCTTCATCTAGTCTCTCTCGTTCCTGAATTGCCTGTATTAAATTATCGAACCTGTGTTGTGACTCGATGTCTCTGTCATCGGCAATGCTACTTCTCCTTCGTACAGAATATACAGAGGGAGAATAAACTCTAGCAGGATTTAGATCCTCCTGTTCTGAATCTTCGTGTCCCGAAGCAGTCTCCTCGGGGGCTGAAGGTTGTACTGGGCTTTGAGAATGAGTAGTATGTGCATCGCTACTCTTATGTTGGGAAGCAATGGGAGACCTTAAATCGAGAGGATCAAGCAATCGCCTTTGGGAAACCTTATTTGCTTCTTGGCCTTTCGGTGTCTCTGCAGAGTTATTTTGAGGACGGTCTTCGGCAGCTACGGAGCTTTCAATACTCATGTGCTCGTTCTCAATGCCGTCCTTGGGATCAGTAAGGGCTACCTGGTCATCTGTTTCCTCTTGGTAGTCCTCCTGGTCTGACCACGGTGGGTTCACCTGTTCTGGTTGAACAGCTGGAGCTGGACCAGGCGAGTTGCTTTCATTTACGAAGAGTGGGGATGTATGTCGCGTGGATATACCGTGTGGCGAGCTTTCTGCTGTTGGTTTTGAAGACAAGCACCTTCCAAAATAGGCGAAATAAATACAGCGCCGAATGAACAAGGTCGTAAGGGAGCGAATGGTGTTTCCGCATACATATTATCAAGGAAAAGGTGTGGAGCATCTTGTGCATGGGCCTTGTTCTGTGGGAAGCCACTTCTCGCTCGGGAAGATACCTTAGTGTCAGCGAGGAACTCGAAAGTTGTTTGTCTGTGTTCAACAGCTACTGAGAAGCACTTAATCATTTGGTCAAGGAGTGTCTCGAATTGTTCAGGTTCGTAGTGAAATAATCCGGTTTTCGGGCTCGGAGCAAAGCATGACGTGCAATCAACCGGTCAGACAACCTCTGAAGTAGTTGTTTGATCTCCTTTGACTAAAACCCAAGTCGGCGGGCTAGTTCGGCTATTTTGAAAAGTACACGCTTATCAAGCTTTCCGCGTTCAGATCTGGTTAATAGCTCCTTATTGTTCCTAGCGGGTGGCAGCATCGACTCATAATGACGTATTGCGTACAGCCACAGCTGCCGATATTCCATATCGAGCCTTTTTATACTGTTGGCAGCCTGTCGACGAAATGCGAAACTCCGAAATTTGTACTAAATAATCCGTAATGTTTGGTACATCCACGAAATTTCTCTTCATGGTATTCCATATAGACCCTTTCGGGGTGCCGAAAAGCCGTTTTATGCAATGTGCGCAGCGTTCGAAAAGTAGAAGTCTTTCCAGAACGTATATAGAGATGGTATAATCCCATCAAAACGCTTAATACGTCTCCAAATTTCTATATGTTGAGATTCATCGAAGGAAGGAAATATTTGCCCGGCTAATCATAAGTTCCTTGAAGTTGTTTGCATCGGTCTTGCAGTTTCCAGGAGCCTTTGATTGTAATTGCAGCACTCTCTCAGGATCGATGCGCGTGAGAGCATTTCGGTCACCGTCGACAAACGACAAGTATGTGTCAAAAATGTGATCAAGGTATGTGAGCACTTTCTGGATAGCTGTTAAACATAGTTAAAATGTATAGGATCTGGAAATGTACTTCGATAGACTTAACCGCAATAAGCTGATGGAGCAGGCTAATTTTCATACCATCCAGCCAAAGACTCGGGATGGCAAGTAACCTATCAAATCCTTCACGTAATTCTTTATTGTATCTTTGTTCAGCTGCTTTATTTGGTTTTGGTTGTTTTCAGATAAGCGCGACAACCACTTTCGTCGAAGCGAACTATTTCCCTTGCTTTTGTATTGTCGGACTTTCCTATATATCTTGTTATCTGTTGATTTTCTCTCGTTGGCGTACCCCTCAATTAATGATGTTCTTAGGGGTGTACTGATGTCTATCATATGGGACTCCGATCAGTTTAGAAATGAACAATTTCTTGTTGGAGATATACCGTCAAGGAAAAGATCTACCGTCCACCATCGCTCGGCGGGCACTAATACCTTAGACGCAGCATGCAGCATATAAGCGATGGCGGCTATGAAGACCTCTTAATTGTTCTTTTGGGAAATTTCAAAGTAGGTATACCTTTCCCAGAGCTCGT